AACATTATACCATGCACTGATTGAGCCTCATCTCACATATGGTATATTAGCATGGGGAGCTGCATGTTCCTCACATATCTATAATTTAGATGTTTTTCAAAAAAGTATTCTAAAAATGACATTTAAAAAACCGAAACTTTATCCCACTGAAAAATTATACGCAGATGTTCGAATGTATGATATAAGACAGCTTTATTTCTTACACAGTATCACTCACTACCATAAATTTGTAAACACCGACCAAAAAATTAAACATAATCATTATACCAGGTACAAAATTCGTGGCACAGTAGTTCCTCAACCGCATAAATCTATAATGCAGCGATCATATCTCTATTTAGCGCCTAAATTTTATGAAATTATACTTAAAGACTTAAAAGATTTACGTTTCGGAAATTGTTTCAAAAGAAATTTAAAAAAGTGGCTACATTCTATATCTAGGACTGAAATTCATAAACTCATAAATACGAACATCAACTAAATACATAATCTACTGTAGCTAATTTTTGTCCCTTTTTGTCATTTGCATTCTACAGTTTCAACTTAAATTTATTGGTCCATGTACAGGCGATGCCTTCTATTGGGCCTGTTTTGATTTTATATTTATTTACTCATATTGTTTCTTATCTTTGTACATTGAGTGAATAAATATTATTATTATTATTATTATTATTATTATATCTCTTACATTATAAAAATGAGCGAAGAATATTTCTCGAGCCCCTCGTAACCAAGCGTCAGCCCTAATAACAGCGTCTGCAATCGCCGAAGTTGGAAACTAACACGCCCCACATATTGCCTAAACGTGGCGACAAAACGATATTGAGCCTATATATTGGGGAAAGTCACATAAGCTGTTTATTTAGCTAACGTCACGTGGCTGATTACAATCTAATAAATATCCAGAAATTGTTGTCATTTCACTACATTGTGCTAGGCGTTGGTACGCATGATCCCATTGTTACTACTTGGCAGATTTGCAATTGCGTCTCATGAATAGATTGGCTGCTATCTGCCGTTAGGGATAACTTTTTATAAAGGCCGTATCTAAATCCATCTCTACACGCCTGCTAAGGGCACGCAATTCCCAGAATATTTGAGCATAGTATTTAGGTGCAAATTACGATAACTTTAGGTATTATGGGGCAGAATTTGATGCGCCAAAGTGATATTACATTCGAAACCTATTTGCAGCCGATTAATCCAGTCTCCAAATGGATAACAGATATTAAGAATTATTATTCTCTTATTTTTGTTCATCTTGGCTACAGCGAGCGACACTTGGTACAAATAGGTAATAGGGGCGCTGAACTAGAATGTTACCATGAACAAAATTGTGAAAAATCGTGGGACCGAATTGGGCATTGACAATGAGCCGTTTGTAGCTCCTCGTTGTTTCCAGCGACAAATTGATATCGGCTTTCTTGAATTTTCGTCGATACCATAAATAGACAGCGACTTTTATGAATATTCTTATAAATGGGGCCCATAGTCTCATAATCACAGGTACGGCTGTGCCGTGTGAAATTTCCATGTTCGTTCTCATGACGTCAGAAATTATTGATGTATGAGGTTACGTAGTAACCCAGTGAACATGATGACGCCAAAATGACGTTATTATTCGGTCACTTTTGGTCAGAAACGTCATTGTCTAAAAAATGACGTCCTTATTGACGCCACTTTTATGACGACATTAAGACGTCCGTTGAGAGGCGTCATTTTGATGTCTTTTTTAGGACTACAAAGAAAATATACTTTTAATAAAAACTAAAGTAAACTAGATATCGCAATACTTATAGCTACTTATTGTTATTTATAAAAAAAGTAACAGGAATTCTTTGACCAAAAATATCTTGTTAATATGACTTTTCTAATAATAATATTTTATGTTCAAATATTTCAAAGTGCCAATTTACATAATGTTTTATTCCTGTAAATAACAAATTTATTAGAAACTCATCTGTATAACAATAAACAAGTTTTACTAGAATATTTCGTCGGACATCTGAGAATACCTGCTATCTGACATTTTTGCCCAATTTGAGGTATATGCACATTTTTCTTCGTCTACCTACAGCGCACATTGTAATGAGTCCGCTAACTGCAGAAAATTTTAGTTTTTGAATTATTCAGCCAAAACAATACCTACCAACACGTCTGTCAATGAGCGGTAATTCCAGCTTTCTTAACTTTGCAATGAAACACGACGTTGTGGTTGCTCAGAAATACTCGTTTCTCACCAAAGGACACACCCAAATGGAATGTGACTCTGTACACAATTGCATTTAAAGAAAACTGAGAAATAGAGTTATTGAATTACCAAATGACTATGTTAAGGCGTCAAAAGAAGCTAGGACAAAACCAGAGCCATATAAGGTGATCCAATTGAGTTACGACTTCTTCAAGGTCTACTCTCGTACAGAGGTGCAGAGATACTCAACAATTAGACCAGGCAGGGACAATGTAGTCACTGACATCAAAGTACTATATTATAATCCCAATGTAAAAATTGAAGTGAAACTAAACTTCAGTGTAGAGCCTCAGGAGTTGCCTATGAGACCAAAACAGCTACCCGTCATCTCAGATTATATATAAGTGTTATATCTAAGGACTCACATGTTTTACGACAATTTTCCATATGTCAAGGAAAGAAGCTGAACGTTAATTTAAGGTGTAACTGAGAATACATGCTATTATCTTTTTGATTTGTAAAAGCATTAGGTAAACTTTTAATTTGATATAATGAATTACAGTTTTTCTAACACGAATCTCACTAAATCCATCTGTAGATCATAGTACAATATCTGTTAACTGCAAAGGAAGTTATCAGATATATCAGCTAACTGCACTATTTTTGTCATTCTAATCCTTTATTAACAATTTCGATATACTTTGTACAAATGCTCCTGAAAAATTCCTGAAGTGATAACGACGTCTCGGAACAAGAGGGTTCAAGAGCGGTAGGTAAATAGAATATGAGTTTCGGCGTCGTCGTTGTCACATCCTCTATTTTTCAGGACCATTTGGATTGCGAGCGACTGTGAGTCATATCGACGTCACATAGACGTCATATCGACCTCATATCCATGTCATACAGACGCCATAAGTCGTATCGACTTATACGATTTATACGACATACTATGACATCATATAATGACGTCAATTGGCTGTGACATTAAACCATCATAACGACGTCATTTTTGTTGGTCGGCGTACGTCAGTAGTACCCTAAACATACCGACATTATGACGTCAGTATGTGCACTGAGAAACAACTGACACTGACCAACGATTTCGAATAGATTAGAAGGAGCGAAGCCTATCTGTTTACATTGCAGTGAAAACATCTATCTTCATTAGACTTATGCCGCTCTTTGAAAATTATGTAATAAGCACAAGCACATTTTGAAACTAACACTTAATAAACGAATTTAATGTCAGTACTGTCAAAAAATTGACCTAAGTCAAGTAATTTGATCCTCATTACACAGGCTATAACAATTAAGGGAATTAAAGTCCTTAAATGGCTGCTTCTGTCTAGGCTGAAGTGTGGTAGCACCGGATTTACCGTAGCAATTTGCTGCCTAAGAGCCATTTTACACACAAGAGAATTACTCCGAAAATTATGGTTATAATTATGCCGAAAATTATTGCTGTCGTATTACACCTAAAAGAATTCTTGTGAAAATTTTCATGGTAAAAATATAAAACCCGTTCTATATAATATGCGCGAGAATCGGCGCAGAGGATTATTTCCGTGTATGTCATTATCAAATGTCAACGTCAACAACATAACCCCACTTAACATTTGTGGGTATGGTCCTGTTCGAGTCGTACTACGAAGAAGCGTTTATTGTTATTGTTTATTCATAATGTCGTGGAATCAGGAAGAAGTTACACTGTTGTTGTAGGAGTACCAAAAATGGGCAAACCTGTTCAAGGTGAAGTCACCCAATTTCAAAAACAGAAATTTGCGGCGTCAGGTGCTGGATGCGATAGTCCAAGCATTGAGAAGTTTTATAATATTAACCAAGATCTCGATTTCAAAAATAAATTTAAATCAACGACGTCTGTTGTCTTTCCGATTATATTGGACGTCATACCCGTTCAGGTTATGTCCATTCGAAAATATTACTCTAATGCGCAGGCGTATCATATGAATTACTCGGAAATTTTGTTTGCTTGTGTCATACAGGTTTTTTCCATACAAATTTTCGGCATAATTATGACCATAATTTTCGGAGTAATTCTCTTGTGTGTAAAACGGCTCTAATACTCCTCTGACGGTCCCGGAACAAAATGATATATGCGGACAAGACCCCGTATAACTATGAGCTAACGAAACTGGTTCACTTTTATGTTTTAGATTGATTGATAACATTTGGTTTTGGCGATCTTTTTGGAACGGTTGAACCAAATCGAAACAGGGCGAGGACTTCAACGTTCGTTCGATTTCGACGCTACTTTAAGATAGCACTTCCAATTTACAATAAAATAATGAGCCGCCTAAATACAAGTAAACCCCCATGGTGGTTCTAGCAACAGACCGATACGGGATTCGTAATTTTCTCACCCAATACACTCCTTTGTTCTCCTGAGGTATAGCCTAATAAAACTAGTTACACTTATGAATTGTATTGCTCAGAAGAGTGCAATTCAGTAGTCTTTTGGGAATGGTTGAACGGAATTGAAACAGAGCGAGGCTTGTGTTCGTTTAGCTTACATGATGACTGTACTATATCGTTCAATTCAAGCTGTGCTGTGCTAGTAATGGTAGGCAACACATAATACAGATGCCAACTGGCGACAAATGAGGATGTTCTCTGTTAAATAATTCTGTTAAGTAAATGTAAATATATCATCTGTACATAATTCTTTATAAGCAGGCAACAATGAAACTGATATTCATCATGTGGCATCAAGAAAAAACGGTGAATACCACAGTTATGTACATTAGTCATTATGGAAATTGATCATATGATAATACGTCTACGTGACATTGTGACGTAGATATGACATTCGAGATTCGAGAAATCGCTCAAACGTCTGAGAAAGATTTCACAACAAAAGTTGTGGAAGAATAAAAAGTGACTCATAATGTGATTATTTTCCGTGAAGATACCAAGGTAAATAAAAAGATATTCCTATCACACGGTACCAATATCTTCAAAATATCAGAGGCTTAATTCTATATCCGAAGAGATTTCTAGAAAAGTCGTAGAAAATCTTGTCTGGAAAAACCCTTGCCACATTGGCATGGCAGTGTCATCATCTGATTTTGACAACTGCGTTCAGTGATGTTTGCATAATAAATGGTTGTATCGTATTCTAGAATGCCAATTCAGGCGCCTCAATGGACGGAATTTCTCTCCTGTCCAGTGTGTTGCAATTCTTTCGACGAGAAACCTCGCAGCCCTATCAGTTTGGGTTGCGGCCACACCATATGCAAGGGATGTCTGTCCAACCTGCACCGTAAACAATGTCCTTTCGACCAGACCAATATCAGCATTGACATCGAACACCTGCCTATCAACACAGCCCTTCTGCAACTGGTCGGACCAAACATCAAGAGTGACTTTGAGGATGTTGATTACTGCAAGATTGTGCCAAAGGAGCACCTGGAATACTACATAGACTGCAAAAAATGTGTGGAGGAGCTTGCACTGTACCTGAAACCTCACCCCAATGGCAACATATGTGGCAGTGGAAGCATATTATCAAGACCTATGCAGAGGAAATTGGTGACCCTTATCAATTGCCAGTTAGTTGAAGATGAGGGAAGGACAAGGGCTATGCGTGCTGCAAGGTCTTTGGGGGAGAGGACAGTTACAGAACTCATTTTACAACATCAGAATCCACAACAGCTGTCTGCAAATCTTTGGGCTGCTGTTCGAGCAAGAGGGTGCCAGTTTTTAGGTCCAGGTAAAGTTTTCTAAACCTAAACCTAAATGATTATCTATGAATTTACATGAAAAGTTTTAAATTCCTAGCAAAACCTTTTGCAAAACATTTTATATTGTACTTTTTCCCAATCTGATCGCTTTACCACAAATCATGCGTACAGCAATGCCCTAGGCTGATTATTTTTCAATCATCTTAACTTTATCAATCATTTACAATGTCATCGTGTCCCATGAAATGAGAGAAACATCATGTTTTTGTTTTTTAATACTTTCTTTTGGCATAAGGTGTGTAGGTTACAACAACTGTTGAATCATCATTGACACTGTTTACCAACCTTTAAGATGTTTTTTGAATGAGGTAATTTCTCTATTCTTTAAAAAACAGCATTCTTTATTACGGTTGGAACTACAGTCATCAAACATTTATGGTAATATTCACATGTGAAGGTGAATTACCACACTGATAGTCCGGTTGAATTAAGATTTATCATTAGAAAAAAATATGTAGTACTTTTGCTTTTATAATTGAATCATGTTTGTGTTAATATCTATTTTCATAAAAAAGTCATTCAAAAGTCCTCTTAGTCTTACTCCACACTGAATCACACTTTAGCTCTATCAGCAGATACATGTCACCCACCATCAAAAGGACAACCTGTCATTCAGCCAAAATACTAAGTATTCAGCATACAGACTGCAGGTGTGTTTTTTCTTCTTTGTGCACTACATGCAGAGTTTTCAGTAGATAATATGTGCTTGTTTGCTTTCCTTTGCCTGCCTTCAAGACTGTACCTATACCATAGTGATGTTTGCTAATAAGTATGAAACAATCTTGTATACAGCTGGTCATGGTCACAGAGATGGAAAGCAAACATACTCATTTCACCATATAAAAGGCTGACACTCTTTCTCTTCCACATTGTCTTTACTAGAGATTTCCACCATGCTACTTTCTGTATATGTTCTTTCCAACAGTTGTGTCATTCATTGGAGTCATTCTTGTGTATTAAAAACAGTTTAGCTGCAATTTTCAAGGTTCTTGTACTGCCGCATAACACATTATATGACTTGGTTCTTTACTATGTTTTTCAACATTTGTGTTTTTTCTTCTCTAGCTATGCAAGAAGAAGTATTGAAACTAGTCCTCCTAGCTTTGGAAGATGGATCAGCTCTATCAAGGAAGGTCCTGGTAATGTTTGTTGTACAACGACTGGAACCTCATTTTCCTCAAGCCTCAAAAACTAGCATTGGTCATGTGGTGCAGTTACTGTATAGAGCATCTTGTTTCAAGGTAAGTGATAGTTAAAATGAAATTGTATTGATTATTTTTTATATTTTGTTCACATATTCGATGAATGGAATATTTTGTTTAATGTACCTGTTACAACCTTTTAAATATCTATCATCATGTCTCAAGATAATTATAAAAACATCTGTAAACCATATTGAATGATTTTTAAATATTGTTAGCTCTCACATTTTTCAAATTATGATTTAATACATCAAATTCAGCCAAATATTTCAACTGAATAAATCTAAAATACAAACAGATGATGTAACGATATACAATGAGTGTTGTCAAGTACTCACTTATTTTTAGCAAAATGATGCTGATGGTTCTACTGATCGTTCACAATAAAGCAGATGGGATGTTGTGTATCTTTGTCTGTTTGTATGAATTGTTACAGAATTATGTCAATTTTTGGGATAGATATTTTTCAAATTAATATACCCTCTTGCCAAATATTTAATTTCTGTATGACAATCAAATTGCAGATTGATAAATTCAGGCATGTTTTATTTTAAGGTTCATTGTTATGTTACACAAAAACTTTTGACTACAGTAATTAACATATTCCACCGGGAGATAATCAACTTAATACTATATTCCGGGGTCAAAAAAATTATCCCAGAAACATAGCTGTGAGAAATTCTCATAGATCATGACTATCTTCAGGTAGAATATATTAATATTAACCTATGCTGAGTATCAGTTTTTAAAATTCAACACTTTGTAGATATGCTATCATTTCAGCCACAGATGCAGAACCTTGCTATTGCATTGTTCATTTGAAATTGTAATATGCAAATCTGATCGATCGATTCCATGACTTCTCTTGATAAATACTTTGGATTATGAAACTAGATGATAACCTTGTTGATCTTGCAAGTTTTTTCTTTTGTTTATTATAAACTATCAACTAATCATGACTTGCAGCACACATATGAGTGTTAGGTTATTGATGGGAGTGGATGATACAGGTACCATCATCATCCTTTGCGTTGACGAAAAACATCTTTGTGGGACAAATAATTATACAAAAGATTTGATTTGAATCATCTATCTCCTAGAATTTTAATAATGTTATTTTGATCGTTATTGGACCGAAAGTTTGCATAGTCCTATCCCAGTATTGTTTTTGTCAACTGTATCAGAAATACACCAAAAAGAGTCTTATCAGTTTCTACGCGATAACATTGCGACTAAAGTTTCTTTTGTGTTTTTTCATTCATTGCGGTTAATAACCTTATAGTGCAGAAGGTCATTTCATATTGGAAAATTTCAATACAAGCAAATGTAATTTTGCAACAATAAAAATGGTGCATCTATTAATAATTTTTGTCTCCTGCACTGTATCACAATTATCCGGTCTCATAAATAGTACAATAATCTTAACGAATTTTATATTTTTCACATGGTTATGCCTTAATGTCACATGCTAGTAATATAGCATGCATTATCGTTGTATATTCTAGAACTGAGTCATATTTACAGTTTTCTGAAAAAACAGCTGTATGTATGTGAGTTATAAATAAACATAATACCGCAGAGCTGCAATACATTCACGACAAGTTCACTGCTTCGTAATTTGCGCAAATCGGGGCGTCAAGTAGGTTGTTTCTTAAACGATGATAGGAGTTCAATAATGTATAGGGTGTCCTAGAATATGTGGTCAGTCATTCAGGCTCATGTATAACTCAAGAAAATAGTCTGAAATAATGCGACAGGTTCCAATAAAAATGTCATACAGCCCTTTCTCGTGGATTTACAGGACACTAATTGACGGCAATGGGATTGGTTTTAACGAATTTATATTAGCATAGTAACTAATTAGGTGATCGTGTTATGCTTTCATTCGTTGTCCTACCTGCAAGGTTATTACGCAAAAAAACTATATAATGTCAAAAAAAAATCGGTAAATTGTCAACTTGTGCACTCCGCGCCTATACAAGTGAGCATGAAGTGAATCTCATCTAGTTCAATGGTGACATTTTACAGGAAAACCTACATATAAATGACAGCTATGCAGGTCGAAAATAAAGATTGTCAGTAATAAAATACGATCCGTTTCCACTTGTGGATCTGAATAACGGAAGTCAGTATTTTGTGCACTATTTTCCATAATCGTATTCTAGAATGCCCTTCGTTATCAGCTAGATTATTATTATTATTTTAATTGCTGCGTTAAACAAAGGATAAGTGCAATGATCGATCTTGAAGAAGTTTTGAGTTTTGAATGCAATCACATTAAAGTTTCAAGATATACCATATTATAGTATATATAGTATACCACGAGTATCCATCACAGTACAATGACAGCTGGTTATCTGGTAATATTTCAAAATTCCCCATATCGGCAAAGGACACATAATTCTGACGGATCCGTCAATGCCAGGTGGACAGAGTTACATTTTGTTTTTGTATGCTACAGATTCATGTTGTACTTGCTAAAAAATCTTTTATTTAGAAAAGTTAATTTGCATACAAAAACAAAACGCTACAAACAAATTTTTGCTAGATTTACACCCGATTCGTTAGAGTCTACGTTGCAGACTAATTAAAAAAAGACGCTTGCTGATCAGCTGTTCATCTTAGTAGATGTCAAAGCGTGATGGATAATCGTGAAATAAGGTATATAAATACAACGAAAAATGAGGTTAAGATGCATTGCGCGCGTTGATTTTATCATGGCTTTGTACCATAAATAATCAGATACATTTCCAGTGTTGCCAGGCGTACAACAGTTCTGTTAACAAACTTTAGATTGAGACTGGGCACTCAAAGAAGCAAGAATTAATTAAATCAAAATCACGTCACTAAAAGCCCAATGTTGAGATACATGCTCTTTCACAACGTTGATGACTCTCATATACGAGTATTAGCATTTATCGATAAACAGCTTCACCATCTTCGGAAGTTATCTGGAACACTAGGATGGTATGGAACCCACGAACTCTTACGTGTTTTCACTGAAAAATACGAATTTAATCTGAAATGTCAACAACCGTCAAAATGGCAACTTAAGCCTGATCTGCTTATAGAATGAACTTGCAAACTGTCTAATGACTACGTAATTATGGTTCAAAACAAATCGTACCTAGTCTAAATTCGTTGGTTTGGACGGACGAAATTACTATTATTTATCTAATCTCTAGGTGTCGAAGCGTGAAGGCGACTCATCCCTTATGCAACTGAAAGAAGAATTTCGCACGTACGACGCCCTCCGCAGAGAGCACGACGCCCAGATCGTCCAAATCGCGACGGAGGCGGGGCTACGAATCGCGCCCGACCAATGGTCTGCGCTACTGTACGGAGACGCGGCCCACAAGTCGCACATGCAGAGCATCATCGACAAGTTGCAGACGCCCCAGTCGTTCGCGCAAGGTGTACAGGAGTTGGTTATCGCGTTACAGAGAACGGGAGATCCGGGGAAGTTGAGCGTGCTCAGAGCGAAGTTGGAGTTGTTGGCTGGAATCGATCCTAGTCCAGGTAGGTTGTTTACAGTATTGCCAGATCGAGGAAAATTCCCTCAGATATGATTTTTCCAGCTGATCTAGGGGTCTAGATGAAAAGTTTATTTTTAGTAATTTTCCATAATTTTAATTATAATATTTAGTAGCTTATCTTTTCCATTCATATTTATTATTTTTTAGTCTTAGTAACTATGACTGCGCATGTGGGATTTTTTTATCTTTCCGAGAAACTGTATTCCTTTGAACCCCTGATGGTATTTTTAATAGAATAATAAATAATATGAATCGTTTATTATATTCCTCTTCTGCAAATTTTTTATTCTTAGCGGACCACTAATTTTGATGCAGTTGGAAATCATCCTCGGGTGCTTATACCGTGACAAATCTGTAAAATTTGTATGGGTACGATGCTATTCAGATAGTTCACACGCCATGAGCGCCATCTATGGAGGAATGACTTTGACTGCTTTGCTGATATTTTCATAAACTACAGCAACTCGCATGTCGCTGGCATGGTTTCTATGTTGCAGGCTTGTATGATACTTTTTGGAGTATACTTTTTGAACAAGAAGTTACCGAGGAAATATGAACGAGTATAAAGGTCGCATTTGGTTTGACTGCGCAACAACCCCATGGATATTTGTTTAGTGCTATTTTATCATTGATTCCGATTTGCGCGAGGTATATGCTGCCTTTGGGCCGGGGATGTTAGATTCATTCCACTGGTGGCTAGTATGCATCGTAAATTTTGAAAAAAATCTGAATCTGTCAGGAACTTGCGATTCGATATGAGGCATTGTAATCTGACAATCGTGGTAACGACACGCCATAAAACTTTTTCTGCCAGCACTCGACTGTATCTTCAACCTTCCTCGATTCTACCCTAACCTAAGCTCGACGTCAATGCCCTAGACTAGGTGATTGGATCTCCGCAGTTTCCAGACATTCGAAACGTAGTCTTTTCTTTGAAATTATTGCTGAAGAGCATTGATACATTCCTAGACTGGAGTGGACCTCATTGATTTTGAATGCTGGTCTCATGGAGTTACTTTGCTCTATTTTTTCAGAATCCTCGCCACCGAGTTGGAACGACTGCGCAGAATGTTTGGAGGCCGTTCGACAAGTGGTGGCCGGTCTAGTAGAATTCGTTCAGCAACATGGCGGCAGAAAAGTGCAGGACGCTCAGCATGCCCAACACGCCAAGTACAAGATCAGCATGTGCAGGGACTTGACACTTAGGGGTAGCTGTCCAAGGGGGACAAACTGCACATTCGCGCACTCTAACGAGGAGCTGGAGAAGTACAGAGCTAAGGTATTTATAGAGATGAGGTTTGAACGTTGAAAATGCTGAGAACAGTTATCACTTTGTATGGGATTTTTGGATTTGCAACATTATTATTTTCATGTGATTATAAAGCTTATTCGGGCATTCTATAGAGATCGTTCTGATTTGGCGCTGTACGTTCTCGTGAATTCACATGCAAGTTGTAATTAGATGGTGATAGTTCAGAATAGTTAAGGAATTACTCCCTGTAAAAACCCGAATGAGGCTATTGTGAACAAAAACATATTAGACAACCAAACTCAGAAGTGGATTAGGAGAAATGTACATGTTATCCAAGACAAGGACGATATAGCGCTATAGAAACTGTAGGAGTTAGAATCTTGATTAAATGAACAAACATTTGCATAATTTTACAAGCTTACAGACTGGATTTATTACACAAACTTCAATTATCTTGTTATTGGGTAGAATACCACAAATGACGCTAATTGATTTTTACCCGTTTTTTTTTTGGTGCACTTGAATAAGAGAAAAACCATCTAGAAGGTGGAATTCTTGATATTTTCGAGTCGTTTCAGGTAGCTTGACATAAGCTACTTGTTGAATAACCTTATTGGAAGAATGCCTATCAATATTTTTAATTGTAATTAGTATCAATGAACACGATACTGAATTTATCAGTACATACTTTAATGCACAGTCTGCTTGTTTATAGAAATTCTACTAGATTGTTTTCATCATCCATTTCGTAAAAGAGTTGATATTCAAATGGTCATTTTAACTGCATAAACAAAGAAAAGTTAATTTATTAATACCATATAATTTATATCAGCCTTACAGTACTTTTGTGATATAAATTAAAGTGGATGGCGCGTATTCTGATGATGACATTTTCTTCGTTTGCACTCCTATCGTAACATCTAACTGGCATCTCGATTGATGATCAGTTGCCAAACCAATGTAACTGAGATTGGCATGAAGCTTTTACTCATTTTTCCAAAACCCGAGCATATTATACAGGGTATCAGAGAAATAACACGCCAGAGTGAAACAGGAGGTGATTGGCTTCAGATGAATCGGATAAAAACAATATGACCTTGGTAAAAGTTTTCTAGGTTTCGAGATATTGCCACTTTTAAGTTTCAAAAAAAAAAATCCCTACTTTTTGTTCCCTTTATGGCTGTAAAGAACTCAACTTATGATCTTTTCCCTGGGCTACCATTAATAGTTGGTTGACACAACCGAGTATTTATTTATTTCATTGAAAACTAGCATGGTATGCTAAAAAAAATTATCAGATTTGGTTTCATTACTGTGAAAAAATGTACCAGACTGTATTAGCAAATGACCTTGAAGATTAACTATTGAATGATATTTCCAAAATAGTATAACATTTGTATGTTCTTTTTACTAAAAACTGAATAATTCCAAGTTTTGTCATTCAAGTGGTAATACTTCCGAAATTTCACAAATAAAAAATAACAAATGCAGCTGTCTTTTGTGCGCAAATTGCAACTTTGTAGTTGCTGTAATCGTGGTGCGCAGTTACCAGCTGAATGTTTTAAAAATCAGTGGAAATAAAAAAATACTGTTCTGTTCATTATTTTTATGCCAGCATTCAGCAATGAATAAAAACGGATAATGGATAGCTGTTACAGACATTTGCTAGAATAAAAAGTGATCGCAGCAACCACAAAGGTTTAATTTAGACACAAAAGATTTTTTTATTTGTAGTATTTCGCAGGTACTACGACTTCAATGGCAAAACTTGGAATTATCCAGTTTTTAGTAAAAATAACCTACTAATTATTTGCTGGTTCAGTCTGATACATTTTTCTACGGTAATTAGTAAAACTTTACTAAAGGTTTTAGCATTGAAACCGAATGTAATAATTTAGTATTTTTTTTAGCATACAGTGCTATTTTTCAATCAACCAACTATTGATGGTAGCCCAGGAAAAAACATCATAAGTTAAAAGCTCTTTATAACCAGGACAGGCAAAAAAGGAGCAAAAAGTAGTGATTTTAACTTAAAAAGGCAATATCTCGAAAATTAGAAATCTTTTACTGAGGTCATGTTGAATTTATCTGATTGATCTGAAGCCAATCTATCTCCCGTGTTATTTCTGTGATACCCTGTATATAAAGTTTCCATGACTGGAAAATAAATCATTGTACAGGCAGTTCTTTTTATTGTGCATTCCATTTATTAATATGTTACCACAATAGAGAATCACCTTCCTTGTTTTCTTCCAGAACCGAAAATCTCTTAATCGTACTAAGGATCACCGAATTGACAACCCGTCTCCAACGGTGTCTGACAAGTCGTACCCTATGGGCGACGAGTACTATACGATGCCCACGGGCGCGGCAGCGACAGTGTCACCGGTACCGCTGCCTCCTGCAGCTCCGCAGGTGATGCACGTGCCTAGGTACGACATGCCACCTCCTCCTCCACAGGCGTATCATACGCATGCTGGGGTAAGTACCGTAGATCACACTTTCTGTTCGCTTTCCTTTTGCTGCATCTAAGACATATACAGTACTAACGAGTCCAAATAAGTATGAAATGCTGGCTTATACGGTCGGCCACAGTTGCACCAATGCATGATAGGCTGTTGCTTGATAACTATGCATCGTTCACTGTTTGGTCTCAGTATGCGCCTCCTCTTGGTAAGTGGTCTACATACGCTGATGCGCAGCGTTGACAATGCGGTTGCTGTGGACGCAACGTTTGGATAACGAATACGATGACGCTATGGTTCGACATCATGGCCGCTGCTATATTCAAAACTATATATGAACGTTTAGTCTAATCCTAATCGTATCAGACAAAAATACCCCTGGTTTGCGAAATAATTGTAAAGTATGGTTTTATTGCTGCAAGTGTTCAAGGGGGTATTTAAAACATGGACGCATAAAATCGGTACATCAATTTTTGTGGGAAAACTTTTTATTCGACAACAAAGACTGAGACAGTGTGTTTTTTGGGATTCCATCGAAAGTATTGGCAGGACTGGAAAAACTCTTCATATAAGATTTTATGGTATTTATGAGACCTACAGAATAAGATCACGCGTAAAAAGATCCGACTAATAGCAAAAAAGTTATGGCCGAAAACCGAGGCAAACTGCAGGTTTTGGCACTTGGTAATGCAACGATGGTTTGTCGCAGATACTTGAAATTCTTCAAATTCGTAGGATTCGTTCTTCTAAATAACCACAACAAAATTGGAATAGATTGGTCAAGTAGTTTTTGAAAATTTCTAATTGCTTATCCCAATGCACCTGTTTTCCGACCATCACTACTAGTTTATTGAGCAATATACAGGGTTAGTAGTAAGAGAATTTTATAGCTAAATACACTAATTTACCTTGGCGATATGAATCGCAACCATTCCGGAAGATAAATGTTATTTTTATGCAAAAAAGTATGGGCTACGTTTTTTCTTCTAAACAAATTCAAACATTTCGTATTTGTGAGTACTTCGCAACAAAAGATGATCGACACAACCGCTTTATTTTAAAATGAGTATAGTAACGTATGTTTCTGGAATATCGTAGCGCATTTATTCAATTACTCACAAATACGAAATGTTTGAATTTGTTTAAAATAAAAAAACATAACCTTTCTTTTTCGCATAAAAATAACATTTATCTTTCGGAATGGTTTGTGATTCATATCAGCAAGGCCAACACGTGTCTTTTGCTATTAAATGCTCTTTGAAAGAACCGTGTATATTGCTCAATAAACTAGTAGTGATGGCCGGAATACAGGTGTTTTGTCATAAACAATTAGAAATTATCAAAGAACTACTTGACCAATATACTCCAATTTTGTTCTTGTTACTTAGAAGTATGAATCCTACGCGCCAAAACCTGCATTTTGCCTCGTTTTTTGGCCATAACATTTTTGCTATTAGTCGGATTAATCGGATAATTTTGTAGGTCTCATAAATACCTAAAAATGTTATATGAAAAGTTTTTTCGTTCCTGTTTAGACTTTCGATTGAATCCCAAAAAACACGTTTTCTCATTCTTTGTTGTCAAATAAAAAGTTTTTCCACAAAAACTGGTGAACCCATTTTATGCGTCCATACTTTAAATACCCCCTTGAACAACTTGCACCAATAAAACCAGACAATTATTTCGGGGCAATTTGCTAATATGATTCGACTAGTAAAGACCTTAATCGTTCGACTGCAAGGTAGGAATGTAGGGTATGATCGACTATTCAGTTTGCCCAAAATCAGCAATGTGGTTTCATTTTAGTCAGAATGGATATAAAAACGAAGCACCTGAAAAATGATATTACATGATGTGAAACTATTTAAAATTCTATATATGCATACATTTGACAAACTAGAAGTTGCATGCTATTGTCGTAGACAGTTGTTGAAAGAGTAGACCATTGGACAAAATAATGCAAAAGGGATTCTGTGACAAAATATTTGCAGGAGGAATCCACGTGCGCTGTTCTGTGAAGACAATGGAGGAGAAACGGTTGCAACCTGGCTGGTGCTCTGCCCTCACTACTCGCGCACTCTGCATTTGCCGTCAACTTTTATCTACCTCATTTACACCTATCTACCTCATATTCATACTATGTAACACTTAAGCGAAAATGAAAATATATTATGTAACACGGTGCTTATAGTATAACCACTTACACTATCCTGGGAATAAATATGTCTTGGATATTTTGACAACTATAAGGATCACACATTTCTATGACTCGTTGTACCGATTTTTCTAATGCACTAAAACTTTTATACTTGAAATCGTTTTAATGTCCTAACGAGCTTCGATATATATTACCTTAGAATAGAAATAGATCAGGTTATTTTATTTAACGACTTGAGGTTGATTCTCACTATACATTCCGTTTCCATTCCGTAACCGTTCCGTAAATTATTGAAATTAAATATTCGCCTTCGCTTAAAGCAGGCTATTGCGTGTGTATGCACATTATCCGTAAGGTATACTGCGTATACAATCACATTGTACGGAACGTTTACGAAACTGATATGGAATGGAAACGGAATGTATAGTGAGAATCAACCTTAATCTGGTATTAAAAAATCTGTTTCCAGAGCGGTAGAACCGTGTGATTATCTCTCTCATCTTACATTTAAGTGTATGCTCACCCTGCCAATTTTATTATACATATAGGTTGTAGGCTATGATTTGTGTTTTCTGCTTGAAGGTACTGGCTCGCAATTATCCATAGCTACGATTTCAATTTTAACAGATTTACAGAGGAATAGGTGGCACCTGTACAGTTCACATCGCGTAGGGGATGGTTTCACTGCACGGGGTCTCTACTTTACACATTGTTGTCTTAACGAGCTCTCACTCATTGCATATAATTAACAGCTAACACAATGCTTTTCACTCGAAACTATATGCCTCAAATACACAACTCTCATTACTAAATTTATATTGTCTTAGTCTTCCCGTTCCGCTTGTGAGTCAGTTGTGAACATATGCCCCGTTGACTCAATTATGATTACATATTAACAAAATACATCTACCGTGTCTTTTAAAAATAATCTCACTAACCTAAGAAAGATCTCATTGATAACACCCAGGTGACCTACAGGAAATGTATAACAATTACGTTATCTCGAAAACTTATTCTTGTGAACGTCACAATACAATAAAGCTGCGCTATCGGATGATTTTAATATTTAGTGAAATTTTTTTGCTATGAAATCAGATAGGTAGATTCCAGGATGTTCCTTGTGATATTAAGTGTTTGTAGTGATTCAGGTTTTTGTTTTGATGTATCCCTAGAATAAAAAATATGTAATAGCAATAAATAAAAAATCCTGAACGTGTCATATATATACATGTAATTTCATCTTTGTGTTCGTAACTTTAGTTTCATTGTATCTTAATGTTTTAGATTGATTCAAACTGAAAAGCTAACGTCGTGTTGCAATACAAAAAAAATTGGAATAAAATTTGTATAAACAAAACAGGTTGACATTTATTGGATCTCCAGACAAAATTTCCTTATTAATGGCGGTGAAGCAAAATGCCTATGCATTTTGGACCAATGGTAAGCGGAAAGAATCACTTGGATAAATAACTTGCTAGGATAATATCGATCGGATCTTTGAATAAAGAATATTTAACCGGAAGACAATCGACATTCAACTGTACATAAATTTTTGTTCAGTTTATGTAGTATTGCTCCCACTCCATGTCCTGTACGTCCCAATTATTTTCACTTAGTCCTGATTTTTATGCTTTCGCTCTAGTTACAAGACTACTGAGTTATGCTATTTATTGTACACCTGATTGATCTAGATAATAATCTTCACATATAGTTTTCATGCAAACGCTTTAGTAAAGTTCATCACTAACACACAATTTTTTATACAGGGAAAGAGATGTGTTATGTGGTATCTAGTGGCATACACACATTCTGCGCGAATCGACTTTAATAGACAGTTGACACTCCCTAAGCCACCGAGTGCGCGCCTACTGAGACTAAATGAAGAGAACACAAGCTAAATTTCCCGCTGGTTCGCTTTGAACATCAAATTGGCTGCTCACGATTTGGAGCTACATAAAATGGCTTGTGATGAGTCTGTTCCCGTTCGTGGGTGTGTTGCTTTAAAAGTTCTAAGTTAACGAATTTTCTTTCAGTTTCCTCAACCTCCTCCTCCAGGCGCTGTCTATGCCACTCCACCTCCTGCAGCTGCCGCTTTTGCCCTTCACGATGGTTACCATCATCACCATATGAATGGGGCCCCTCCACCACCGTTTTATACCACAGCTCCCTTACCACCTCCGCAGATACAATCGACTGGTGATAGACCACCCACGTGGGATATGGTGAGTCATTTTCACGTTACTTATTAGTCTTACTCTCTTTTGTACTGTGATTGTCCGTACTGCTTTGACCTACGCATGCACGGCTTGGTGCTTTGCCTCAAAGTTTCACTTGCATACTTTGCAACTCATGCAAAACGAATTTGTTCGTACTATACAGGGTGACTTTGAAGTTGAGTCATTAATTTTCAGATAATGATTGTAGAAGGAAGATAAACCAAAATATGTGTGTAAAAATAAAAAAAAATTAAAAAAAAAATGTTACCTTGTTTTATAAAGTATCCTCCCGACAAGTATTTCAGTGCGGACCTGTATTTGATCGTGCGGTCTTGGAGCTTCGGCATGCCCTCCCCTGTGAGGTCTTAAGTCACCTGGTTGGTTGCACTCGATTGGGAAACCGATCCGCATAAATCCAGAATTTTGTAAATAAATGACTCAACTTCGAAGTCTACTTTGTGTGCTATGGTACATCTTCAACGGCACCATTCACATTCTGCAAATACCTACGATCTTTGAGCAGATCAAGTTACTTGCCAGGAAGCGTTATGACAGCGCAGGCTCCCATAGTAACCCTTTGCTGCATGCCGCGGTGGACTAAACTCCGGCTCAAATAGCTAAATTTAAAAGGCCCCGTCTGGTTCTGTATCATAAATCTTTTTAAACAATTATTCTCGCACCTTTCTTCTTTTCTTCCTTTTACTTCCCACGCCACTGGCCTATCAGGAAAAGTACCGTTTGTTTTTTCAGATCGCGAAACCGCCAACTTACGTCCCTCAAAACAAAACGATCCGTTCAACGACGACCAAGAGCTTGGCAGAGCTCCATCAACGCAAGCAAGAGGTTATCTCTCAACTGGAAAAGGTTGTCGGCAAAGTTGCTGCCACAGAAATATCAAATACTGCAAGTACGTTGGCTAGGCAAGAGTCACAACATGACTTGGATAGTCCCACTTCCCCCTACAACTTTTGGTCTGGGCAGATCAACTCAGGACCTACCTTCGTTAGGTAAATTCAATTTTATTTCCATAACAATTTTACCTTTATTACTTTTTCATGCTCATGTTCAAATATCATAAATCATTCGAAATGTCATGTAATACGAAAAATATTATTTCCTAGGTATGACAATACATTGACAACAGATGGAAGCAATTTTCGACGATATGACGAAGTGGAAGTTGCATATAGCCATTTTCCTAAGTTAGTTATTATTTTTTGTTCTATTAGCCATTTAAGAAAGTAATCGTTTTCATTTCGTTCTTTTTGTGACTAAAATAGTAACAGTAGTATTATCATTACCAAAATACGTACTTCTACACAATGTATTTCAAATTATAATTTCGGCATTGTTGAATTAGAAGCTGTATATATCCAATGCTAGCTAGCTTTTTTCACTAAAAGTGTTAATCCTTGAAAATCACAGTTTTGAACATAACTTTTTGGTTTAGGTCCGATTCTATACTGGCAGCAGATGATGATTATGTTCCATATGATTCACCAGCAATCAGCAAATACGGCCCTATCTCCAGAATGCACAAAGACAACGGCATGACACAGAATGTTGCGGGGCAGTTCAGAGATAATAATTCTTTGGTAAGTAAAGAAATGGTTGATAATTTATGGCAGCATGTGCTGATTACCCAAGGTAATATAAGTACGTCCAAAAATTCAGAGTAATTCTTAAGGAGTCTCGTTCCTATACTGTATTAAATATATCCGATTCAATGTTTAAATTCAGTATAGCAATTATTTGACAATTCTGTAGTATCTATTGTTAATCAACGTATATTTTTCAGATAAGAAGGCCAGTTTCATCAGCTAGTCCCGTAGCTGCCTCCTGGTACTACAACAATAACCAGCACTACCATCAACCGTCGATTCCAGGACATCCAGTCATTGCTCCAACAGGGAGTGTCAACGATGGTTATGTCACTTATGGTATGTGAAAGTGAGGCTATTTTAATCGTGGGTGTTTTTTTAGACACGAAAAAGCATTGTAGCTTTTATCAGTTAAAACATTTCGATAATATTCTTCTAACAGTGTTTATTGCATGTAATGTGTTAGCTTTTTTTTTAATGATTTATTGGTGTTAATACAGTACGGTGCATACATAGGTCAGATTTATAAAAAACACAGAGAAAACAAGTAAATAAAAATAGATATAAAATTTGCATACACATTCATATCATATCATAGAAATCCTCATTCATGAATTCCTCCAATGAGAAAAAAGCTTTTTCAAGGAAGAACGTTTTATTATTTTATAGGAAATGTTAACATCCAATTATTTTACAACAGGTGGAAACCTATTAAAGAACTTGATTTCATAAAAGTTTGTTCAGTTTCGGTTTCTGTATAGCTGATGGTGTTCCGCAGATATATTATTGTTGTAGATATGTAGTGTATTCACCGCCTTTGTTCAGCAAAAACTCTTTGCATATGGGGGAAGTCCACTATATCCCCCACTGTAACCTTTGGTTAATGCATACCATCTGAAGATAGCCAAGTATAATGCTGTTAAATGGATATGAAAGATACCTGCGCCACCTACGAGTCAGTGGCAGAACACAAAAATGAATTTAGGAATATCTCTGAAAAGAATTAGATTATTTGGTTCTGCGACTGTCTGATAGGTGGTGCTAGTATCTTCAATCGATTTTTGGCCTACGTTGATCAATACTTCAGGATTTAAAATATGCATTAGAAAGGCCAAAAATGGATCGAAGATCCTAGGGCAAGGTGGTCACGTATTCATTTTTCTCATCACTTTTCCGGGTTCTCACTTTTAGTCATTTTTTTTCATAAATTACTCGCTTTTCTCATTTTTTATTTTCAGATGCGTTCACAAAGACATTAAATTGTCCCTAAATCAAAAAATTGAGATCATAATGCAAGCTAAAACCACAAGACCCTTAATGTTGATTCTCACGTCAGTTGGACAGAAAATCGTGAAACATTCCGATTCCGGAAATGATGTTTTTTCGGACCTGAATGATATATAAATCACAAAATACCATATCATATGTCACTCATTTTATTACATTCTCATTTCCCTCTATGACTCGAAAGCATTGTACAGATTTTGGTGAAACATCAGTATAATTATGTCATCGTAGTACTTTGTAGATTGTGAAAATATGTCCAGATTCGGAGTGGTGGGCAAAAAACAAAAAATCCCAGCATTTCTCACGTTTTTCCTCTTGCCTTGATGACGTGTACAATTTTCGTGTGCGTAGAATTTCAGATAAAGTTTAATCATTGAGTGGACTACTGAATGAGTCCACTTGACTCCACTTTTTTGCCGTTTATAACACGAAAACGCCAAATGTTCTGACATTATGCTGTTTTTTTACATTATGTAGGTTTTCTTACAAGATATTAACTTAGCACTTAGTTGTACGTGTTGAATAAACGTCATGAGGCTTGTTATCAATCTTTGGCTCTGATGTGATGTAAAATCTGCTTCCGAGATGGCATTACTGGAGGTCTAAGCTGTAAGTTGTATGTGTTGATGATAATTACATTGGGTTCTGGTCTCAAATACACTTAATTGAGATTCAAAGCTAGAAATTAGTTGCGCTTCCACTTTTTCTTATCCATTCTGGAAATTACATATACAAATTTGCTCAGTTTCAAAAATGAGGGAGATAAGAAATAATTATATTCCCGTAATTCTCCTCAGTTTTTCGTAATTTATAACTTTGAAAATAACCTCTCTTCAGAAAGCACAACATAAAAATAACCCATCGGGCACAGCCAATAGATACACTTCATTGGCAGCATATTCAGTAATGATTTTCTCACACAGCAAATATCACTGATTTTATACACATGCAGACCAATACACATAATCATCCAGATGCAGTCTTGCTATTCAACCAACTTTCTTCTCAGAGATAAAAACTACAGACAAGGACCATTTGGCCTCACAAAACATATGCAACCAATAATGCGTTTAGTTTAGCTGAGTGATTGCTCCTTAGATGGACGCTCTCAATGATCCTATTGAGCAAACTTGGAATGACTGTTTGCGCCCTAAAAACTACCTAGTTTGCAAGATGACATGTTATAGGTTTTTTTTGACGTTTTATAGGTTTTTACATGATACCCATGCGGGGCAGGTACCGATCCAGCAGCAGATTAAATAGTCTTCGCAACTTTTTAGTTTTTGACAACCGATTTAGTGGCGGAGGAGATGTAGGCAAAAGACGAAAGAAAAAAAATAGGCTCTTGATCATTTCCGGAAAACTTTTTCAGGCGATAAAAAGGGGGGTTGGAGGTTGTAGGGGATAGAGTAGAGTCTGACTCATTTTTTGGCTTTGGTATATTAACATTTTTTCAATCCCAGTAATTCAAAGCACCTATTGGACACATTTCTCATATCATTGATTTCCCCATACATTTCGTCTTAAAACACACATCCAGCGATAACACTTTTCCTCACAATCATTAAAATGTTTCAAGGTTTAAGGGACTCATGCTCTACTTTTTGTTATTGTTTAACCATACTTATAAAATAGATATATATATATATATATATATATATATATATATATATATATATATATATATATATATATATATATATGTTTAACCAAACTAGATATAAAGCTCCGTTTAATAATCATGTTCGTTAGTCACCCCATCCACCCCCCAAAAACGTCACTTTTACTCATTGTTTTTTTTTGCTCATTTTTTTCCTTCTGAGATACTCTTTTTTTCGAGATCCCTGGCCAGTGGCCACCCTTTCCTAGCTCCATAGTAGGTAGTACATTTCAAATCAAGTTAGTCTCATGGCACTATAGTCCATCTGTCGAAGAAACTAAACCCAAACATAGTCATGGATATTTAAAGTGATCAGGCACCAGAACGCCGACAAGGCTGCATTCACCCCTGTGTCGTCTCCTACTCCACCTTCCTGGTTTGGCATTGGTCCTGTATATAGGCTCAACCGATTCTGCCCAATAACAGTTACGCTCCCCTTTTCTTAAAATATATCAACGTCCTGATCACGCACTGAACACGGCTGGTTATTGTTTTGGTTTAATGTCTTTCTTGGACAGATCGACTTCAGATGCCTTTTTGGACGCCGAAATACAGTATCTGGTTGGCTATCTTCAGGTAAAATACGTGACTCAATATAATACAATTGTTGGCACAAATATTTCGAAATATTGTTCACGTTTTAATTGTTTAGGGTCTCCGCAAGTGATTTACCATCCCCGGCTCCAAGATTCCTCGAAAGAACTGCTAGCGGAATCGCAACGGGTCAAATTGCAGCTACGCAACCTCGAGAAACAACTGAACGATTTGAAGATAGCCGCGCAAGGGGTGACAAGCCTTAGCGAGAGCGAAAGGCTAACGCAGGAATTGCAACTGATCGAACAAGGAATACAGGAGAAGCATAAGGAAGCATGTTTGGTAAGTTTATTATTTTGTTTCAAGCTGGGCAGATTCAGATTGCATGTGAAAAAATGTCGATAATCCCCCATGATTGTCCGACCAATGAAACCACATTTATTTAAAATTCCTCTTTAATCTGTACATTTCGGTGACCTGCAGTACATGACACCTTTGTGACAATATTTGATTAATCTGTTTTCCAGGTGACACTTCGTTTGTTTTTTCTTTCCATTTTCAGATTACTATACGGTGTGTTACTACAATAGTGTGAAAGGTTCGTAACCTTCGGGAATGAATTGCCCATGACCGTCTGGGCTATGAATTCCCAGTCACAAACTGGCGTCTAGCTTCCCAAAGGACAAGCGACCATTAGGCTATCTGTCGATTTTCTAATGTGCCAGATACTTCACCCTCGTCCATCGTTTCGAAAACGCCTAATAATAAAATATAATATAAAAAACGCATGGGTTTTGTTTCTCATCTCGTCCTTGTGGGAGTGGGAATGCCTACCCCAGGCGGTCCTGGTGGGCTATGCTGCTTTGCATGGTGCGACCTTAAAATTTACAGTGACAGCTTCTCGCAATATCGGCATGTTACGGACCTTTCACACTATTGTAGTAACAGACTGTAAGGAATTTGAAAATTAAAAGAAAATGTCGCCGTATTCACTAATTCGGCGTTTGCCAGACTGTTACTTATCAGTTGTACAAAATATAACAGTCTGTTAAACAATACTGATATTCACCAAAACTTTTCGGCTTCTGATAACAAACTGACTGTCATACAAAAATCTTAAATTTCTTTAAGTTGGTGCCTCTTGACAAAAAACGAGAGAACCACATCTAACCTAAGCTGCTGTGTGTTGTCATGTGGTTGTCATTCACAGTTTTGTCAGTGTGTTGTCAGTTTTGTAATGGTTTTGCATCAAGCAAATGTCAGAGAAAAAAGAGCAGCTAACTATAATCAAGGGAAAAGAGACAATAATTTCCTTTGTTAAAAAATATAAAAGTATAATTGAAAACAAAAAACTAACTTGGTATTTAACAAGCACAAAAATGAGTGTTAACAGAAGCTTAACAGCGAATCGGTTTATCGGTTCTGTAACATTTTGCAATACATATTCCAGTCGCCTAAATATATTTTTATTTATTCTAAATCTCCTTTTGAACTCCAAATCATCTGGTGCAATCAAGGGAAACATACTGGTTCTTACAATTCTTTCTCTCGGGATATCTTCAACGATTCTAGTATGTCAATAATATCAATTCTACTGAGGTTATCCATGTTGTATGATATTTATACAAAACAAGCCTTTACTCGCTGTTCGCTGACTGTATTTTGTAAATCACTTCTAGGAAATCTCTGCAGGCAAAAAAAAGTCGGGATGACACTTTTGACTTTTTAATAAACAGTCAGTTTAGTGGTTTACCAGGCCAACATCGCGCTGTTAACTTATCCATGACCTTAACAGACTGTTTTCTATGATGTGTTGATATTGAATATCAAAAATGGATTTAACAATGTGTTAAACAATTTAACATTCTGTTAGGGAATGGTGAATACGGCCGTAAGACAAATAAAATCGTGTCAAACAAAAGCCATAATATGCTGACGAAGGTAATTGTTGTAACCGAAACGTATACATTTATAGTCCTGTTCGTACAGCAGTCGCCAACTTGTCATGGACCGTGTCCAAGATCCCGCTCAGTCTGCTACATTATACAGGGTGTCCGCAAAGTTGGGGTTTTCCTTTTCAGAAACAACTACCCTTGAAATAACCAAGGTAATGTGTAGTGAATCGAGGGCGACCAAGTAAAAAAAATAAAGGAAAAAGTACTCGCTCTCCAGTTGACGAGAAGGGCTAAGTACGTCTCTGCCTGAAATCGAAAGTTATTCACCCCATTACGCGTGAACGTAGATTCGTCTGTCACTTATATGCACTTCAAAAAGTCCGGATTATTGTCATGTTGATGCAACAACCACTCACAAAACCGCACTCTTGCTCTTAGTTTTTGATACTTGCACTTCTCTAGCCACGTCTCTAGTGCTTGTTGAGGGATTCTCGTCTACGCGATTCAGTGGTTCTTCCTCAACTTTCACCATTCGTGGTTGTCTAGGCCTCCCACTGTGCCCACCTCGAAATTCCTCCAAATGGCCCGTATCCCTGACTCTCTGGACCAGGTACACAAATCTGCGGGGCCTTGGATGATGTCGTATAGGGAAACGATCTGCATACACTCGCGACGATTCTGTAGCATTTTGAAGACATTCGCCATATATTAACAACATATCAACGAGTTCATTATTGGTGTATGAGTGTGCCATTATTATTATTTTTTTTTGAAACGCAATCGATTATACGGGTTCGTTACCTCTATACGCGTGACCCTTTACCGTCGGCTGAAGGTTGCATACTGACCTGACACACTGACCCCGACCCCCGACCCAGTTCTGTCGTCGGGTAGCCGGTACCAGTCTGAGATATCGCGGCGGGTCGCGGCTACAGGACGGTATTCTGATATTTTTGATGTTGCAGAGCCCTTTATCTCGGTTCCCTTAAGACATTGGTGTATATGGTACTAAGAAAAATTGCTTATGTTTTCAAGATCTACACGTCTTGTAAAGGAAAACCCCAACTTTGCGGACACCCTGTATAGACGGAATTCACACGGCCGGATCCTAGACACAGCCACTGACCTCTGTACGAACAAACCTAAAGAAGACTTTCACTTATACGAGTATGTGGTTTAATTGGCCAGACAAACATGGGAGACCATTAACATAAAAACCACAGGATAAGTGTCAGATGTTACATTACATGTGTTGCTATTTCTCTATACAGAACAGAATAGTGCAGTCGCTAAGCCAAGCGATGGGTAACTACAGCAACGGCAATCCGCCAAGCGGTAGCGCCTCGGAGGATGCCATGTACGAAGCGGACATAGCCAATGACATGCGAGAGCTCGAGTTGAGACTCCAAGAAGAGCTTGAGGAATGGAGTGGCGAGGATTCTCCGAAGTAATTTTGGAGGCGGACGTGAGATTTTTATCATTTTGATATATTGTGTACTATATTTGGTGCATGTACGTTTTAGGTTTTTGACTTAAAGTTAGTTTTGTTCCAATGGCATGCCTTGATCCAAGTCTTGAAAAATATTTGATTGGTTGCGGCAAAGCGACAGTTTAACTGACATAAGGTACGCTGGCCGTATATATGCTATAAGGTCACATTCATCAGAATGTTACTCAAAACGTTCTGTTCATGTGATTCATTGAAGCAAAACCTTTTTGAGATGTACATCTAAACGTAAAATTGTTTTTCAGCTCTAGAGTAGCGAACTGTAGTTTGAAGTTGTCTTTATTGCTAGTACATTGATGATCGATTCTTTGTTCCGTTTGCACTTCCAGAAGACATTAGGATTTTGAGCCGAAAAACTAGTTTTTTCCAAATATGATACTGGGTCAAGGCATATAGCCAGCTGTTAAAATCCAACCATTTTATTGTTTCTTCATAAAAATATTGATAGCACTTCACCACTATCCATTCATGACTACGATTTCGTAATAAAACTGTTATATATTATATTAGTTATTCATATTGAAATGCATGTGAAAATAAAAACGTAAAACGTACTATCACTATAATGATCTAATTTTCGTTTTTGAAAAACTTTTATCATGCGTGTGAATCGTGAAATCGAATTGGGTTGTGGTTAGCGTGATGAAACCTTCTTTTTTTTAGTTAAACAAGTATCATCATAGGCATCTATTTGGAACTGAAACCATACTTTATAGTTACAGTATTTGAAGCTTTTTTGTTGTTGTTATATGATATTTTTGCAATTTTTTATTTAGTATGAAGGATATTTCAAAAAAGCTAGATTGTCTCTTATGTAACTAAAACCATACTTCATTGTTACAATATCTAAAGCTTTTTTTGTTATTGGTATGTGATATTGTTGCAATTTTCTATTTGGTATGGAGGATATGTCAAAAAAAGGTAGATGGTCTGTCTCGCATGTAACCATGATTGATAAATCAGGGGTAAACATCATCAGTTCGAAAATAAATTAATTTAACATAGTTATTATAACTAAGAATGCTTCTTGAAACGGAACTTGCAGGAGACTGCTTTTTATAGTGATGTGTTGGATTATGAATATTTCATGCGTTTTTTCGTGGTCACGATAAAAAATTTCACTATATTTATTTAAAAGATACCTTATGTTAGCGAGCACCGACACATGTAACTGACCTGCTTTTGATTTGTTGGAATTAATAAAAATAAATTGTGTAACGAAAATTGAAAGAGTTCTACTACAGAATAGCGGGCTTGTGAACAGCTAACGAAAACAGGGTATGTTCCCTAACACAGCCCAATTCTTGCCATAATTTTTTTATGGTTATCGAGTTTCACTTATAATATGTACATTAATTTTATATGAAGATGAAGTGTGATTATGTTTAACATTGATTTTCCAAACGAACTGTGACTACTGCTACTGTAGGAGCTGCAACACCTAAGCAAGTCTGGTTTTTTAGAGCTAGCTCAGTGTTTTTACTATTTATTCCGATTTTAATGCTGTATTTTCTATGTGTATAATTATGAAAAGTTTTGCGATATTTGTATATATTTTGTTAGTGTTTTTATGTATAAAGAAGAGCGAATTTGTCCTCTAATAGTTTGTTGTTTTTATATTTAAATGAGTTAAAATCGTTATGTAGGCTTGCAGGTGTGGAGCTACTTAGACAATTTTTAGAACATTTTTTTGTCGATGAATCAACTTTACCAGTAATTTGACAACAGTATATTGAAACATCGTAAAATGAGATTAACCGCCAAAATATTTGAGCTTCTATAAGAGAACTAAAGTAATGTTAGAGTAATTTTGGTGTAATCTCATATAGCTTATTCTTAGTCCAATGTACTATTCTATTAAGAACAACTTGTATATAATATTAGAGAGGGTTGTCAGATTACGGCATAGATTAACATTAACTTTATCGCGTTATTTTGACCACCTTTTTCAATTCTACGGCTGAGGGAATGTAATCCATATGCTACGATCGAGCCCAAATTAGGTTTCTGTTGCTCTACTCCAGTTTGATAAAAACTTATCTAGCTGAGATAAAGCTAGATCTGGCTATAGTGTATATGGTAAACTTTTAGGGGAATTACGACTGCATCTACAACTTTGTTGGTTGACTAGGTTGTCTGCCTATGAGAATTGAAAATCTTTCACATTTTGTTAAAGTTTCCGCGTTGTATTTCAAGAAGCAATCCTAATAGTACTTGATGATAGTGACCATTATTATAAGTACATGATATACCTTCATCAATTATGAGCCTGTCGTCACTCGTCCTGAATGGTTATAGAGGAGTTTCTCAGATGATGCGGAACCTTTCGGAAAATGTCATGTTGCCCCAAATCAAAATATTCCGTTTTATTTGTACCATTTTAATCCACCCTAAATATTTTTAAAACTGTCTATCCTAGAAAAAAAGTTTCAAGTTACCTTGACAATGACCTTGACCACGATTTTTAAGGTCTTTTCAAAATCTGGTGAATATTTTCAAACAGAAGTCCCATTTTTCACATCAGAGTTGAAGAGTAGGAAATCTTACGTCCGAATAACATCTTGGCCATTACCTTGGCCATGTTCTTCAATGCCACAGATCAAATCAAGACATCAACAACAATTTGCTCCAGCAAAAGTGTTCGGCAGCACAGTTGTGAGGTTTGTGAGGATCACCTAAAGGTGACCTTGACCATAAAGTCAAAATTTCCAAAGAAACCTTTAGTTTTTATACTGGAATTGGCAAAATCAGGAAATTTTACGTCTGAATGAGACCTTGATCTCAAATACCATTTGAGCTTGACTCTGCCTTGACTTTGAGGTTAAAGTAAAAATCGAGCGTAAAATTTCGTGCTTTTTTCGGTTTCCAGTGTGAAAATGAGAGGTGTTCTTTGGAAATTTTGACCTGATCTTGTAGGTCATGGTCAAGGTCACATCTGGGTGATCCTCACAAACCTCACAGCTGTGCTGTTGAACGTTTTTGCTGGAACAGATTGTTTACAACGTCTTGGTTAGACCTTGAAATGACCTTGAAGGAAATTGTCAATGTCGTAGTGATGGTCATATTCGAACGTAAAATGTCCACTTTTTGATTCTGATGTAAGAAAAGGGAGTTCCATTTAAAAATGTTCATTTGACCATAAATGACTTAAAGGTCACCATCATTGTGCGCTCTCGAAGCTGTACAAGTTTTTGGCGGAGAGATTAAATTGGAATTTGGCGAGAAAATCCATACCCAGCAGATTCGTTTCATCAACATTTCAGGCTTTTTAAACAGTTATTTGAAATACTCGTGTCGAGTTGTCAAATTCGAAGGCACTTTCAGGTTAGAAAATCCACCTTAAGTAGAGGAATTCTTCGACTTGACCGATCTGTCCATTTCGTTCCACTCGAGTTTTTAGGGGATCTAGTGAAACAAAAATATCGTAATTAATGATCAGCTAACATAATGTCGACCTTAGCAATCCGGTGAAACCAGTCAGAAAGGTCAAAAAAGCACGCAAGGTTAATTTTAATGTATGCCGTAACGCGATCTCTTATAATTTTCTATTCACAGGGCTTGAAAACCTTCTTTATTATATCGCGAACAAACGTTGTTTCTCTAGTATATTTCATTGTTGTCTGTGATTTTTACAAACAGTTTGAAGCGAAAAAATGAGAATCATGTTATCATGCGTATACGGTAATTTGGATTTTTCCGAATTATCTGATTTGTCTCAACTTTAGTCTTTTTCAGATTGTGAGAAGGCAAAAACAATATTTTTCGAAACTATACCATTATAAAATATTTCAGACTGTACCAAGAAGAAATATTGACTGCTCTGTAGATATACCTAAGGTTATTTATTTTAAAGGTAATGGGATTGTTGCGATACAAGATACGTCGGCTATATTTGACGTTAAACTTTGTATTTTTATCAACAGCTTCCAAAAAAACCTTACAAGTGACCGTTTATTTGGCACTACCAGTGTATAAACATCCCTCTTAAGGTACTCGTCCATTGGGCCGCATCCGCAGCCGACCATTGTCGACGCACTGGCCGGTTGCAACCTCATAGCTGACAATGAAAACAAACTCGAGCGATCGGTGCGATTAGTAGTGACTCTTTCACTGATCCGTATGACGTTGTACTATTCGGATTGCTGATGACGCGATGCATGTCGTCCGTCTGATGCGGATTAGTGGACGCGTACTTTTTCATGTCACTGAATTTAATAAGTTTACGGCGTATCTATTTCGCAATATTCTCAAACGCATGGAATGCGTAACTTCTTTTTCTTTGTGCAATAAGATTCTATGACGACCAAGTCATATTTATACCGAAGAGGAGTAGTAGATGAAAATGAGCGTGTCATTTCAAAAATGAGTCAGAATGATAGTAGTTCATCGGAAGTTCTTATTCACATTAAATACGAGCGATGCATTTCGAATTTTATGAATTTCAAATGGATAGTTATTCCAGTTTTATTGGAAGGAACGCGAATAGCAACAAGGATTAATCATCTTCGTTCAGCTTTGCTTAAAATATAGGGGTTTTAGGGTTGATTACGTCATCTCACTATTTTTTAGCACATATAGTAGTCTTATTAACTATGGTGAACGTTAAATATAATATAGTGAATTACATAAAATCCGTAACTACAAGAAAACATTTTGTAGGATGGATATAGGAAGCAATGGAAGAATGTCTTAAAGCAAGGTTTATGTAGCCCAAAAGAATTAGTGTCGCGACTGGCAACTTAGCAGAAGTTTGAGTTCATCTACACTACCGCTGCCCTTATCGGCACCCGTATTGAATTACTTAAAAAGTGACATTACGAGATTTGTCCGGAAAATACGTATAAAAGTGGAACAATAACTTTATTTTACAACTGTTAAGGCATTTCAACATGGTCTCCTTCAAAGTACTGCCCGTGAGACAAGATGTACTTCTGCCAACACCGTTTCCACTGTTGATGCGATCGCTGTAAGTCTTCAATTGTGACGCTCTTCATTTGCCGTGTCGTTTCTGCCTTGATGAATTCCACTTCCCCCAAGTGACGCCTCCGAAGCACCATTTTGCATTTTGGGAACAGGAAGAAGTCACAAGAGGCTAAATCGGGTGGATCAGGCGGGTGTTCTGTCACTGTGATTGAGCTTCGGGAAAAAACTCACACACAGAGACATGTGAGCAGGCGCGTTATCGTGATGAAGGATCCACCTGATCTCTTGAGCCAAATCCGGTCGAACTCTGGCGACAAGAGCTCTGAGACGACGCAAAACTTCAATGTAAAAAGTTCCGTTCACTATCTGGCCCCCTTTCCTCTGCTTCCAACCAATCCTCCCAGCAAGCAACCCTCCTTGCTTCTGTTCTGGAGTGAAGAACTTCCGAACGATTTTCGCGCACAAAGTTTTCCTATCTGAATTTCGTGGACGATTGTTTTGGAAATTGACAGTTCCTCAGCTATCATTCTAACTGTCAATCGACGGTCTTTAAGCCCCGAATTCGTTCAATATTTCCCTCAGAGCTCGATGCGGAGGGGCGTCCTGAGCGTTGGTCATCTTTCACATCCTCTCGGCCTTCCCGAAACCGTTTCAACCACTTGTTGACGGTTGGTTTCTTCAGAGAATTGTCTTGTTCCAACACTCAGAAATCTGACGACCATTCTTGCGTAGCTTTGCAAGAAACTTGATGTTGATGCGCTGTTCCTCGACCATGCCGACGGCAGGTAAAAAAAGGGTTACTTTAAACAAACACACGTAATTCCTACTTACTCGCAGAGAGCTCCTGCTCGAACTGAGCATAGAGGGGATATCATAGAGAGAGGGAACTACCGGGCCAATTCTCCATGACGCCCCGAATTTTTTATACGTATTTTCCGGGCTGACCTCGTATATCGACTTTTAGACATTATATAGGTTTGTTGACATGATGTCTCCCTATAAAATGTCACCTTTGAACTAGACGACATTTACTTAATGCTCTCATGTAGTAAGTGCGGAGTGAACTAGCAGAACCCTTGCGGCTACCTAGTGCACAAGTTGGCATTTTACCGATTTTTTTTTGACGTTGTATAGGTTTTTTACATAATCATTCTACCGAACCAGTTGATCATTCGGCTCTACATTTGTAGATTATCACTCTCAACACGTTGTCACCGAAGTCATGGTCAGATTTTCTCATTTTGCCAGTTGTATCTTCCTACCATGAAGACTAAAAACAGGAGTTTAAATGACATAAGGGATATATGCATTCTTATGAAGCTAAGTCTGCCGCCAAGGAGATCTAGTGGGCCCAGCGCGTCTTCACATTGAAAAACGTCAACATAACCTGCTGCAATCTTTATATGCATTTCACTCATGTTTTGACATACTTGTAGGTTTATTAGTTCGTGGTTTATTAATATTATCCAATATTTCTGGAGCTGTTAGAGTCATGATGACAGCAACAGAGATGCCACATGCACAGAACCTGAAATTAATTTTCTGGGAAGCACCTGCTACTTATTTACTATGAAGTGTAACAACTCGCTTCATCGTCGACATTTTTGGCTTCATCTCCACTTCATGAGTTCCTCCTATCTCTAGTCTTCATGCTTCCTATAAAGATGCGATGCTAGCGCTTCAGCGGCCATTGTCAAATGCCCCTTAGATAGTTAAATGTAACTTAGCTATCACCTTCATTTACTAAGTGGCGGCTTTTCATGCTTTCCAAATTATTCCGGAACACATTCATATTGGTTGCCAGATTTTTGCACTGCGTCATTAGAACAATTTTGTTGCTGCTCGCGTTCATATACCGGTTGGTGAAATGTCATCTAATTTTAATGAATCATACTGTGTGTGGTTTGGTGTATCAATGATATCGGTTGATATAAATATTTTATTTATATATAAATACGTGAGCATTTGTTTGAAAATGCAACAAGACTAATAATTACTAAAAATGCTTATAAAGGAATTTTGTCTATACCTGGGCATTGAGATATTTTACAACATTTTCAGACGATATTGCTTGAAACTAACAACTGGTTTTACTGGTTTATGGATGTTCATATCAATCGGCCAGAGACAACGACAGCGATCCATTCTAAGATTCGTGAGACTAGTGGCATAGCACTGACACCACAACAAATAAATGTCATTGTCACTGTGAAATACCCGAATTCAAGGTACCAATAGGCGCAAGCCCCAGAAATGCTTTCTTTCGATTGGATATACAAGGTGTTAAAGTTTGGTGCCTTAGTTTCTGTGGGTATGCCTGCACCATTTTCAAGAACTGAATCCTCTTTAATATATTCAGGGAACGATATAATAAAACTATATAAGATATTCGAAACCGGTTTGTGCAACAAAATTGGCATCATATAGGTGTTTATATCTAAATTATTATATATAGGATGTTGCACAATTCCGTGGTACAACCAACGGTTTTTTTATGGAAGGCCATATTAGATAGAACAAGAAAGTTCTTTTATCATTTGTCTAAAGAAATCCTACCATTGAAGACTTTGACGTCTGCCATTTTTCGTAGTTATTCACTGAATTTTGGAAAGAGAAAAACGTGCGTCACCTTTATCAGAGTGCTGCAAAACGTTTTTTCTCATGAATTTTAAATGAAACATCCCACACACCCATTACACCATCCAATTCGCGATTTTATAAGTATGTTCTGATATGAAGTTTAATTGTTTAAAATGATTTTACCTAATAAAATATAAGGTGCTTTATTACCACGCAATTATGCAACACCCTGTATATCTCCAAAATAATTTGGAAATATAGACCTATAAAATATCAGTTTGTGCTAATCATTTTGGAATATCTTAGTTTTTCTATTTTATTTTCTTCGGGACACAGTGCATATTTTGTATGTGTTCATGAGTTTTTTATTGTATTGTCAAGTTCCTTGAGTATACTAAAGATAAGTCCATACTTTAGCACCCTGTATCTCCAACAGCATTTCTAGGCTTTGTGCCCATTGAAACATTTGATCAGCGCAACATGAACTATAACTATACGAATTTTCATTAATGTTGGTCAAATCCCATCTGTTTTGTGCCTGGTACTTTGAAAAATTATGTCAATTTTGACTTTCTGTAAAGTGCCAATAGTTTCACGAATCGTTGGGTGTCACTATAACGGCGAAGAACAGCAACCTGATTGGGTTATGTTTCTCAAATCTTCGACATCTTTATTTTCTGGCAGAATTGTTCGGACTCCTTGGTCATGTGTAATAATCGTGTATTTTCAATTACAATTTCTGACAATTATGGCAAAACTCCAGAAATGATATTTAGCCTTTTGCAGTAATGATTTTTGTAGCATAATTTTAAATCCACCGTTTGAAGTATTGTAACATATCTCCTTGCGATTTACTATTTATTTAATATCTAGGTTATCAACAAATATACGCTAGTATACAATTTATTCTATTCAGAAAAGTAACACATTAAATCAAATTATCTCCAAAAATATGGAGTTCTAATATTAACTTTCTTGAAATCTAATGTTATACAAGTGTTAAAAACTAGTAATCCTTACTAGACGCTGTCCGTTTCATACTTATGTCATAACTAGAGGGGATCTGAAGAAATTAATGAAAAAATAAAGTGAAAGTATAACCAGTGAACATTACCAAATTTAAAAAAAAATAGCGAATTTGTGGACTAATTACTTTTTGCATGTATGAGTCATATGTGTCAGATCTCGACTCTAGGAATACAGTTTGCTTGATAATATACTAGACAGTGTAAAATTCTACTAGATTCTATAGTTGAACTTCATCATAACAATTATAAAAAATATGTAGTGACCAAGTACATAGAAATGTATATGTATTAGTATATTCTATTTTTCCATATAACTAATATCACAAAAATTTCATGATGTCGTTCAATTATCCTTTACTCTATTGCTGAAATTTTTCAAGTAGCACGAACTGAGGGACATGTAGAACCATTAGAATTGCATATCGATGGTATTCGATGCATTTTCAAAAACCTTGCATCCTGGTTTTTCAATATTCTAACAGTTTATTATATATTTCCAGCTGAATTTTCAGGTTTGATATTCATTTTTAGGGTATCATGTGTGTGCAATACGTTCTGTAAGCCACATTTTCATTATATATTTTTAGATATTACAGTGGGTTTCAATTCAGTTGTCCCTCTAGTTCAATACTTACGCAGATGAAATCTAAAAATACCCTGATGTATTTGACAGGTGAACCTTTTTTGCTTCATAGTCAAGGGAATGACTTACGTTGTGCTCCAAACATAGCAATGGGAATGAGATCCAAAATTGTAAAAAAATAGTAAGTATGGGCGCCCGTATGCCGGCGACTGTAAAATTTAATGCTCTTCAATTAACCACATTCATATTTCACGGGCTACAGCTTAAACGGCTTGATGGTTTTTGACATATCAGGTGTTTCTAGATGTGTCTGGATAGCACGAGTGACTAAGAAACCTTACCATATTAGGTATATTTTACTTCTTAAGTGGAAGTCAGGGAGATATGCCCCCCTTGCCCCTAATGGGCGCCCATGGTCAAATGTCAAAGAGAAAATCAAGCAGATATTTCAAGGTTCGCCTATTGTATAAAATACTACTTATACCTAGTGTTTTGCTGTCCAATCACATACGGATAGTGAAAGCATTGGGGATAGACAAGCTATGCTTGAACGTCAAATTTATCATTAAACGCAGTTACGCAACTGTCTGTGTGCCACACACATGGGATATCCGTTTGTTATTGGACAAAATTTTGCTACTTTTTATTCCGTTTTTCAAAAATGTGCTTTTTCTGATATGTTTGAAGCACAATTTAGAATGTAGGCTGTGTTATTATATTTATCATCAGTGGGATCTATAAAAAATAGTACATTTTGTTGCCCACACATACCTTTAAAAATTTGTTTTTCTGCGTTTTGTTAATACATGAGATCTAGTCATCTTTTTTTACCATGTTGTCTAAGGCGAGCTGTAGCAAAAGCTGAGTATTACATTTCAGAGTTCTAGACAATATAATTATAATGTTTCCAATATAATATCATGATTTTTTACTGTTTTGTTTTCAACTTCAATAATATATGAACAGATAGGTAAATGTTAAAAACTAAGCTTTTGCTATTTTATGGCCAAATATTTTTTTCTTCGTACTTATTCTTTATAGATCACGCTGTATATTTTTTAATACTTGATTTGTATTCAATGGATTATTTATATTTGTGTATTTAAGCAAATTTTTTAATTTATTTTTACTAAGTCATTCTGGAAATCAATAAGTCATGTTGCACATGTAATTATTAATAATTCTTTATACTGATTACATTAATCACTTATGTACTTTATAAAATTGGGTGGAAGTATATTATACATTATACCTATGGAATAAAACAATGCAGAAACATTTGCATCTTTTATTTATTTTTTTCATTCATTTGAAGTCCAATGCAATGTCTTTCCAAGATGCGGTTGGGGTCAGCATGTACGAAGAATCTGATTTACTTGACTTCTTTCAAATCTGATCTGTCCAGAGAAATAATGCAAAAGAGGAAATGGTGAGGTGTGCCGCAGAGACCAGTAGGTGTGTAAGTAACAGGTGGGCTGAAAATTCCGTATCGTTTCAATGAAAAAATATTTTTTTCGTCAAAATTCGCTTTTATTATTCAACATAGTTGCCTTCAAGGGCTATACAGCGATTATAACGTTCTTCAAGTTTTTCGATACCCTTCCGGTAGTAATCCTTCGGCTTGTCCTCAAAATAGGCTTCAGTTTCGGCGATGATTTCTTCGTTGCTGTGAAATTTTTTTCCGGTGAGCATTCTCTTAAGGTCTGAGAAGAGGAAATAGTCGCTTGGAGCAAGGTCCGGAGAATACGGTGGATGGGGGAGCAAATCGAAGCCCAATTCATGCAATTTCGACATCGTTTTCATGGACTTGTGGCACGGCGCATTGTCCTGGTGAAACAAGATTTTTTTTTTCTTCATTTGTGGCCGTTTCTTGGCGATTTCGGCCTTCAAACGCTCCAGTAACACTATATAATAGTCGCTGTTGATAGTTTGGCCCTTTTGAAGATAGTCGATGAAAATAATTCCTTGCACGTCCCAGAAAACAGAGGCCATAACCTTGCCTGCTGACTGTTGCGTCTTTCCACGTTTCGGAGGTGGTTCGGATGCAGCCGTCCACTCGGCCGACTGGCGATTTGACTCCGGTGTGTAGTGGTGGAGCCATGTTTCATCCATGGTGACGTATCGGCGAAAAAAATCGGTTTTATTGCGCAAAATCACCTCCAAACAGGCCTCAGAGTCGTCGATGCGTTGTTGCTTTTGGTCAAATGTGAGATTGCGCGGCACCCATTTCGCACAGAGCTTTCGCATATCCAAATATTCATGAATGATGTGACTGACACGTTCTTTTGATATGTTTAAGGCCTCAGCTATGTCAATCAACCGTATTTTGCGGTCTCCCAAAATTATTTTGTGGATTTTTTTCACGTTTTCGTCCGTAACGACCTCTTTTGGGCGTCCACTGCGTGCGTCGTCTTCAGTTGACATGTGACCGGTACGAAATTTAGCAAACCACTTGCGAATGGTTGCTTCGCCCGGGGCAGAGTCCGGATAACACTCATCAAGCCATTTCTTGCATTCGACGGCACTTTTTTTCATCAAAAAATAATGTTTCATTAACACACGAAACTCTTGACTTTCCATGGTTTTCAAAAATAACAAAAGTAGCGTCACTCTCGATACGATAACTCAAAAACTAATGATCCGACAGCTGTCAAATTTTGACAGGCATCTTTTGAAGGTTGGTACTAGCTAAGAAGCGTATGGATTTTATTCTGGTGGCGCCATCTCATAGAAACGATACGGACTTTTCAGCCCACCTGTTATCATCTGAGAAACTGTTGTCGTCAGGTCCTCCTAAGTTTATGAGGCTTTAATACCACCTACTGACACCACTTCAATCGGCATCAACGATTTGGTTGCCGTTTATCCTACAGTGTGGTCACACGTGACAGCTTGAGAGCTCTTTCTAGCATCCTTAGACTGATTTTAGAATACCTCAGTATTAAATAAAATTAAAAATTATGCAAAATCAAGGCGTGTATCAGTAATATTTTCAATGGACATATTCCTACGGCCACAGAACTATATTTCATGCGAAATGTTGGCCAACTTAATTTCTTGCCCGAATTATGTTTCTCAGCCACAACAAGGAGTTTTTAAAAAATATTTATTTTGTAGACATGAACGTGTTACAAGTTGGAATGATAATGAATTAAAATATAAAAAGAAAAATAGTTTTAATAAAGGTTTCTGCTGTCGTTGCGACTGGCGGTGTCGTCTTGCTGACGCCTCGGGTTCTTGACCTATAACGCCTCCCTCGCTAAGCTGAAAGTCCGTCCTCGGACTTTTGAAGTTTTAGGTTTTCCAAGTCGGCAATGGAAATTTTCGGCTTGAAGAAAAGCGTCTGGAGTCTTCTTCTTTTTCTTAAGACGAAGTAAATGCTCGCTGTGACGATGATGAGCATTAGGGTTGCCATGGACCAAGTTGTTGTAGACGTCACTGTAGGGCTTAGATGTAAGGGCTGTATGGCCGATAGCTGTGGTACATCTTTGAGTGGCTGCAACTCGTTGATCTGTAAGTTAAACTTTGGGCGGATCTTTATAGGGATGATATCAGGAACTTCGATTTGCTCTGAAGTAGTGCTGTAAATCTGTCCATTAATTTCGATTGGGCATGAAGAATAAACAATTGCTGCTTGACTAATATTTCGGTGAGTCTGGGAACATCTTTCAACGATTTGGATTGGCTCATTTGTACTGACGATCAGGTTTTTCTTTGTTTGGTGGATGACAGGCTGGGAAAGCTTGGCAGTGGTACAATTTTCTAAGCTGGGAAGCTGACATCTTGTGGTGGAAGCGGGTTGACATACGATTTTTGGTCCTACATCGGTGCATGTAGAATACCAGCGATTATCTCCATAGAAAGTTGCAGGAGGCAGTAGTACAATGTTTTCTTCATTATGTATGGGATAAATATGGTAAAGTCGGAAAGAGTGATCATTAAGGATCGGGATTTTGAAAAGGATGAGTAACTGAGTATTTGTGGTGATTAATGAACAACGTGAATTTTCGATAAGTTCAAAGGGATGTGAATTATCTGATAAAAGAGAATTTGATTTATATAAAGATTTTAGCTTTTCTTCTAAGTCAGTGATTTCGGAAAGTGAAAATAATTCTATGTTCGGTTGTTCTAGTGCAGATAGGTTTATACTTCTAATAAGCTTTAAAATGAATTGATTCAAACGATCAATATTACGAATTTCGCTTTGAAGAGTAATAAACTGCTGGAATTCATCTCTAAGAAAATTAATATCTTGTGTGATTCTCACTGTATTATTATTTATGGTTTCAATCAGAATATTATATCTTTTTATTGTTTCTGATGCATAACTTGTCGAATTATTAAGCACATTGATTATACGATTTTGTTTATTTTCGATACTGAAGATGTGCCTTTCCAAAAATATACGATCGTTTTCGTCAAGGTTGCCAGTCACTGATTTAATAAAAGTTCCCAAAAAGTTAGCAATTCCTTGCCTTTGACGGGGTCGGATTATTTTATGAAAATTGTCAAGTGTCTCGGAATAGAGATGGTTATATTGTTCAAATATTCGGTAGTTGGAAGTAGTGAGAGTCTTGTTAAGGAATAGGAAGTTAGTTAGAGTCATTTTAAGCGTTGCGTCGATAGCAGTTAGGTTAACAGTAATAATATGTCGGTGATAGTGATTTAACTCTTGAGCATGGCCTATCAGTTCACGATAGTATCCATTATTCGGGATCAGGTGCACTTGAAGGGCCAGGTTGTGGTTCGTCAGGATGACGATCCTGTAACAAGGGTATTTTCCTTAGACGTTTGATTTTTCTAGGATGGGTATTGGTGGGTCTATTTTTGGAAGTAACGGCCTGAATTTTGGTATTGCTACTAGAAGTAGTTTCGGCTGATACGTAAGGTGCAGATAATTTATTTCGGGGATTTTTCTGAATATATATGGTTTGGCCAGGTGCTGGAGCAGGAGTGATCTCGGGTAGTCTTTCATTGCGTTTATTTAAAATTGCTGTTTCTTTATCGTGGAGTTTTCGATAAAGAGAGTCAATGAAAGGTCGAAGTTCGTCTTTATGTCGTTGGTTATATTTTTCGTAGATAGGTAAGTCATTGTCAAAAAGTATTTCTTCTGCATATGGGCCATATAAGATAGAAAAAGGTGAATAACCTGTGGCGGAATGGATGGACTGATTGTAAATTAAAACACAATGTGTAACGAGATCAGTAAAATATTCTTTGGGGCGTTCGTCGTGCATAACACGGAGCTTTTCTGTAAAAGTAGAGTGAAATCTTTCGATAGGACTATTGGAATTCGGGTTGTTCACTGTCGTAAAGTGTAACTCGATTTTGTGAAGATTTAAAAATTCTTTGAAGAGGTTATTTGAAAATTCGGTACCTTCGTCGCAGACTATTTTTCGAGGATAATTATGGTGGGAGAAATAGTGACGTAATTTGCTAAGGATTGTGGTATTCATTTTGTCAGGTATACTGTACACTTGGGCATACTTGGAAAAAGAGTCGATGATTGTGAGGAAAGTTTCTCGATTACAGGAAAATGTGTCAATATGAAGGATGTCGAAAGGCTTTTGTCCTAGAAGTGGACCTTTTAGGGGTAATTTATATGGGTGTCTCTCGTATTTATTACGAAGACAAATATCGCAGTGGTTAATATGCTCTGAAATTGTAGAACGCATATTAGGCCAGTAATAGTGTAATTTTAAATGACTAAGTGTTTCGAGAATACCATTGTGATTTTCCTTATGGTAATTTTGGAGATGTCGTAATTGGTCTTCGGGTCTCTCTACATCTTGAACTCGTTTGGTGCAGAAGAATATTTGGATGTTTTGGTTATAAGTATTACGGACGAAGTCGGAAATATATTTTTGGATATCGGGATTGTCAGTCAGAATGTAGTATCGTTGATTGGGGGCTATAGTTTGATGGAGAGCAGTCTTGATGTCGGTTTTCCAGTCTTTTTCGGAAAGAGTGATGAGATATTCGTGTTTGGACTTGAACTTCAGACGGTATTTGGTGTTAAAATCGGTGCCTAGATTTATTATGATCTGATTTGAAAAATGATTAATAGGTTCTTCTGAGAATGGGACGAGAGCAACGGGATTTTCATGAGAAGAATGTTGGGTTGATTGACCAGTTTCTTTTTCGAAAGATTGGTTAACGAAGTCATCTACATCAAAGTCGTCATCATCATCTGGAGGGTTGGCGCACAGAGACTCGGATTCGTGCATATTTATTTCGATGCGACTTAAAGCATCGGCGACGACGTTTTCCTTTCCTTTCTTGTATTTAATTTCGAAATTGTACTCCTCAAGTTTGAGTTTCCATCGGACAAGACGAGAATTGGGTTCCTTAATTTTGTATAACCAGACTAAGGGGTTGTGATCTGTTTCCACAGTAAATTTTACACCATATACATAGGGGCGGAATACTTTGCAGGAATCGAGTATGGCAAGAAGTTCTTTTTCGATTGTAGAATAATTTTTCTCTGCTGAATTTAGGGTGCGAGAATAATAGGCTATCGGATTTCCTTTCTGTGTAAGGACAGAACCGATCGCTATGTTTGAAGCGTCTGTAGTGAGGGTAAATGGTAGGGAAAAATCAGGGTATTGGAGAATAGGGGAGTTACTGAGAGCGGATTTACATTTCTCGAAAGATTCAATATATCTGGGATCTTCGATATCGATTTTAGTACCTTTTCTAGTGCAGCGTGTCATGGGGTATGTGATTTTGGAAAAGTTCGGAATGAAACGTCGGTAGTATCCTACCAGACCAAGAAAGCTTTTGATTTCTTTCACCGTCTTGGGTATAGGAAAGTTTTCAATGGCTGAAATTTTTGAAGGATTTGGTTTTATGCCTTCAGGTGTTATGACGTGGCCTAGAAACGCTACTGACTTACTCAAGAATTCGGATTTATCGGGCTGAATCTTGAGGTTAACTTCTCGGAATTTTTGGAAAATCTGTTTAATATGAATTAAATGTTCCTGGAGGGATTTGGAAAATATGACGACGTCGTCCATATAGACAAAACAAGATTTGTATAAGAATTCTCTTAGGATTTCATCCATCATTCTCTCGAAAGTGGCTGGTGCATTTCGTAATCCGAAAGGCATTCTAAGGTACTCGAAATGACCGTTAGGAACTGTGAAAGCTGTCTTTTCTATAGAATCTGGGTGGACTTCGATTTGGTGGAAACCCTGTGCCAAATCAAGGGTGGTAAAGTATGAACAGCGTCCTAGGTTGTCAAGAATTTCGTCAATGCGGGGAAGAGGGTATTTATCTTCGATTGTGTTTTCGTTAAGACGTCTATAGTCGATGACCATACGGAATTTTCTTTTACCACTTGCGTCAAGTTTTTTCGCAACTATCCATACAGGGGCTGAGTAGGGACTTATAGAAGGGCGGATGACATTGTTCTGTAGTAATTTATTGATTTGGTCGGAAATTTCAGGTAGCATTGATTTTGGGTGTCGATAAGAGCGGGTGAAAATTGGTGTTTCATCTTTAGTTCGAATAACATGTTTTACAGAAGTAGTAACGGTTAAAGGAGAATTTTCTGTATGAAAAATATCTTTAAATCGATGACAAAGATGGAGGATCTTTTCTTTCTCTTCTGCATTCAAATGGTCTGTCCGTAACAAATTAAGATCAAAATAATTGTCGCCAGACGATGGGGGAGTGATTTCTTCGAAATCTGAAATGGATGTGGCGGAGATTGGTTGTGAGAAGTTGATTTCAACATTGTTGGGACGTGGAATTTCTATGAATCCGTCTTCAGCTACATGAATTGATGCTGGAACTATTACTTGATTTTCATGTATAATATCAGAAATGACAACTTCGCCATTATTAATGGAGACCGGAATACGTAGTCGTTTATTACTACGGTAAATTATCTTAAATGGAATAGAGATCTGTAATTTTGGAATAGAAAATACATGTGTTTCGTAATCAATATTGGCTCCTAGTTGATCGAGTTCACCTGTACCTAAAAGTACATCGAAATCGTCATGCCAGTCGGCAATTCTAATTGTAAGGGCTTGCTGTATACCAATTTCTTCGAACAAAGGGTAGTAAAGATTGCGTGTATATGTTTTTGGGGTTTTCATCGATATGAGGGTAAAAGGTTCATAGAATTCATATTTCGAGTCGAAATTTTGAGCAGCTCTGGGAGTAATTACTGTATCAGAGCCACCGGAGTCGATGAGAACTTTTAATTTGGAATGTGGAAGGTAGAAGTAAGGAAGTTTCGTTGCTTTGGAAAAATTATTCAACTGAATGATTCTATGTTGGGTGCGGGTTCCATTGAGGCTTGGTTCTAGAAAATTTTCCTCAGGAGAATCAAAGTTTTCGTAGCAATCTGTCTCAGGTATACAGTCTGCTTCGTTATAAGGTAAACTAGGCGGGGACTCGGGTTCACATTCAACATTATGATGGAACGTGCGGTAAGAGGACATAGACATTGGGGTAGGTTTGGAATTTGAAGATCTCTGGGAATGAATACCAGACATGGGAGTTGGTTTATATTGGTTTCGTTGGTCTTGTGAATTATTAGGCCTAGACGATGGACCAAAGACTTGACGATTTGTCGGAAAAGATTGTCTCTGTTGGATGGGCTTATTTATATCGCCAAAAGGTCTAGGGTGCATAGAATTTTGGTTGAAAGATTGATTAGACGAATTGGGCTGATTAAAATTACGATGGTATTGGTTATTGGGATTATTGGGTTTGTTCGAAGTATTGAAGTTGTTTGGATTGGGACGAGGTTGAGGTTTTTGGTAATCGCGGGGGTGATTCGTGGATTTCAAGTAAGACATGTATTGTTGTTGCTGTCTGTGATTGTCAAGAGAGATACACTTTTGGAGAGCATCATCTAAAGTATTCAATTCGAAATGAGAAAGATGGTCACAATAAGGGTTGTTGATGCCTGTGCAGAAAGTTCTTAGAGCTTGTTTCCGGAAAAATGAAGCCTTGAACTCTACTGCCTGGGCATTACTTTCACTTAATAAAACATGTTGTAAAAGGTCATTCAGTGCCAAGGTTATACGATGATGATAATCTTGGTAAGTCTCTGAGCGTTTCTGAACAGTTGTAGTTAATTGAGTTAACAAAATTTCTTCATTACGGTGGTCACCGTATTTTTGTAATAAAAGTGGTTTAATATCTGGCCACGAATTTTTATTATGAATGTTCAGAAAATCTCGAGCTTCACCTTTTACTTTGGATAAAATATGTGCATTAATAATATACAATTGTACTGCATCAGCTCCTTGTTGGTTGAAAAATGTGATTAAATTATCTACAGAGCTTATAAATGTAGAAAGATTATCTCCAACTTTAAATTCAGGAAGAGTATTACACAAGTTATTAACATCAGAGTTAGATATAACCATTTTTGTAGATTGTTCGAAAGTATTAGATGGGTTATCAACAATATCGTCTTCTGACCTCTTTGAATGTTTACTGTAGGGTTGAAATCTAGATTTGTTTTGCGACTTGTGTGAAAAATTAACTATAGCTTGAAATGAATCTTGAGGGTACTCAGAACTCATATGAAAAGGAAATGGACTTACAGGATGAGAAGAATCGCACTGATTTTCATCGCCAGTATGGTCCTCCAATTTCTCGGTGTTTCTTCGTGACCCCAGGTAGAAATCTGCCAAATCGTTAAGACGAACCGATGATCCTTCTTGGGTGGATGCCGTGCAGATATCCTGTTCGCAGCGCCAATTATGTTTCTCAGCCACAACAAGGAGTTTTTAAAAAATATTTATTTTGTAGACATGAACGTGTTACAAGTTGGAATGATAATGAATTAAAATATAAAAAGAAAAATAGTTTTAATAAAGGTTTCTGCTGTCGTTGCGACTGGCGGTGTCGTCTTGCTGACGCCTCGGGTTCTTGACCTATAACGCCCGCATTCATTTGCCTGTAGTCGAGGAAGTAGCTTAGAATCCACTCAAAAAAATATTCTGATTAGTTTTTTGTATAATCTTGTACAAAAAAAACCTTTAACGAATCTGCGTTCACTATGTTCAAAACTACGTCAAATATAGTATAAATATTTGTTAAACAAATTACAAAAATTGTCTTTTTTTCGATTCGGACGCAATTTTTGGGGGTCTTTTATGTCATTCTTTACGAAAAATGTTCTCATGATATTTCCTTTGAAGTTGATAGTGTTCGAGATATAAGCGCTTCAAAAAGTGCAAAATGTCTCATTTTCGACTCGGAAAAGGAATATGAGGAAACGAAAATTTTAATGATGCCGAAGATCTTTAATATTCTTCAAACATCCATTAATAAAACTCCAAAGCACTTGTATATCTTACGCTTGACTGACAAACATTTGGCGTCAAGTAGGTTGACTCTACACCTCCCACGCAATGCTCTTATAAGTACATAAAGGAATATGTTCAGCACATATATTTCATAGGTGCCGAAGAATTACCAATATTGGGAGCGTATAAATGTACCAGTATCAACAAATTGAGATCCCACCCCACCCCTTTATAACCTCCACCCCAAAGCTTTTTAAAAAATTATCAGGATCCTCTGAAACGTGAAAAAACGAAGTTTCAGCGATTTTTGCTTTTCTGGTTTTAGGCCTTTTTCTCTGCCGCTACTACCGATTTTCAAAAACTACAAAGCGTTTGCGTCCTTAGCATAATAGTAACATTTCATCGAAATCCGAGCAATTCTGCTCAAGTCATAGGCGGTAATCAGATTAGCGGACAGACCGACGGAAATGAGTGACATGCTTTTTCGCGATGTAGATGTCATATAACATCCAAAAAACAATATCTCATTTTCGAAAATTTTCTCGATAACAATACTTCCCCGCTAGTAGAAGTAAAAACAAAGATATACAATAACAATGCCCCCTGAAGTAACTTGGAATTTCGTTAATGGATGTTTGAAGAATGCTTAGCAAGATTGATGTTTTCATTAGTTTTTCGAAAATGGCAAATCTTGCACTTCTTCAAATATTAAATCGCTGATAAAACCTTTTTTGTTCAGAAGGAGCCAACAGAACTAACAGAATATTTAAAGTGGAGTTCTGCTTAGAGTTTATATTTATTTTATACTGGGAAAAGTGTACTTTGGATGAATTTGATCAAAATCTAAATATATTTTTTTCTTCGAAATGTCTAAGGAATCTACTAAGTTTCTAAAAGTCGGCCTTTCTGCTGGATTTTTGTCCCAGCACTTCATCATCAACGAATAAACCTCATCGGTACAAATTTCGGGTCTTTCCAGTCGAATTCCTTGTTTCAAGTTGTGCAGAATCATTGTATCGGGAGTTTTCTCATACGGAAATGCACCTGAAAAAATCAATATTTTAGTTTTTTATGTTTATATAAAATGCCTATTTATGAAAAGGCGTTGATCAAGTATTTCATCTGATGTTCCAATCTGAAGCTACACGTCTACAGGTAGGAACGCGAAGAGGCGCGTCAGATTTCGCTTGGTTACCTTGATTGCGCGTCAAACGTCTCATCCTACGCTCCATATCGCCTTAATATGTGGGCTATCCTTTGATTTCTGCAGTCGGATTCCGCTTCTGTTCGCTTTGCCTTTAGAGTACATTGAACAACGCGCAGTGGTTTATTGCTTCTAAAACCTGACCAACATTCAAAAAGCAAACAGTCCCAATGTCGAAACTGAGTGAAATCATTTTCTACTTAAAAGTTAATATATTAAACAATAACTTGGCCATATAAACGGAACTTTGCTAACAACTATCTTTACCATGGCCGATTATCAAACTTGAAGTTTCTGTATCATTCGTTGTGTTTTGTGTGCTGACAAATTTTGAACATTTGTATGTAGATCAGAATAATGCATGACCTTCATTTTTGTGTAATAGAAATCCAACATGTTTTGAACGGATTGCTGTTCTTCACTTTTTATGTTAGTATTTTTTAAAGAAGCTCTCTCTTTTTCCCAAATTGGGATGAAAGGTTCATAACCTTAAAGTGGTGCCAGATGTAGTAACCAGAAAAAAACCTATATGACATGTGGTTGGGTTCAACTGCTCGCCTTGATGTGCCCTTGAAGTGACCTTCAAAAGCCCTCATAGAGACCCCCGGAAACACAGTTGTAATGAATATTGTATAAATGACGTATAGATTGTCAATTGTTTGTGAGCTTTTCAATGATCTTTTTTTTGACAGGAATGCTTTCATAGCCACCTCTAATAACGCTCTCCCCTGCCGTCTTCCGGCGAGCACCAGCCTTCAAGCAGTTGGAGTATATTCTTGATTTCAGGACTCACCTAAAGTCCCAATTTCCCATAAAACCACACCGAAGGACCATACGTCACTCTTGTTATCGCATATTCTTTCTTCTATAGCTTCAATGGACATCCACCTCAACGGACATTTTCTACCACTGGTCACATATGTTCCAATCCTCGACATACCAAAATCGGATATCTTGAGAACTTTTTGCGGAGTTATTAGCACGTTTCTTGCTGCTAGGTCTCTGAAAGTATGCAAAACATCTATTCTTAGAATATTGTAATACTAGCACTGAAAATCGAATTTAAATTCTGCAGATTTTCTTCTTGGCGCTTTATAAATGGGAGTGAAGACTGGTACACGCCAGACCTGACAGAATTACTGACTTACAAGACTTCAACCAATAGCAAAGGTCCTACGGACCGCTCTGACAGACAATGACGAATAGAAGAAGCACTCCCACCGAAGCGCGCTGGCATTAACGGTAAGTGAAATAATAAAATGTGATGCTTACCTATGTGTAACTCCGACTTTTTCCAAGTGTGCCATACCTTTTGCTATTTGGAAAGCAAATATCTGTAACTCCTCGCTAGATAATACTGGTTTGATGTAGCAAGCCTCATCGTCAGTACCTAACGAAGTGGTATCAGCTACAAAACATACTTCATTTTTAAACATGCTCCTTATGTCCAGCTTGAATTTTCTTCCACCAAGCAAAAATCCGTTGCCCTTCCACCCTCGCTTCGGTCGTGTAGGGTACCATATCATACTTTACCCTTGTATTTTGTCAGTGAGATAGCCCTAGAGCGACCCCATATTGAACTTTCTTAGGCGCCCCTTTACCCAATTACCGCGAAACTCAAAAGAAAAGACAAAAACATTTGCATTAACAGTATGAGGTATCCAAAAGAAATAAATTCGTTGTTTCTATTACTGTGCATATTCACCGAAACGATCAAATTTTAGAATCAAAAATAACATCTTATTCCCTAAAAAATTCAACACCTTCGAAGTAAGTGTTAACTTCCTTTGATTCTTTAAAAGGAAACTGTACACATCATTCGAAAGTTATTTCTATTGCCGATTTGAGACGGTTACTGTTTTCAATTGTGTCAGATTTATACTTGCCACGCTACGCTGTCATCAGTTCGTACAACATTGTGTATGGCACAAGTTAGCTACGAACATGTATAACAAAAAATTAAATGACCTTCCTCCTCCCCTTGAGAGGAATTGCTGCGGGCGCACATGATCGTTGCGATGACCAATCCCTCGTGAATGACGATATTGGCCTTTACCATGAACAGTGCACAGAGCCCACAACAGTGCGGAAGCGATTGCCAACTGTGACGTACAACCATAGACGATGATGCTAGTCCATCGGGGGAACGTCTTAAACGTTAAAAACCGAATTTTTAGCAATTTTTTTCTGTTTTGGCTGTTTTTTACGCCGCCACAGGATTTTTTTGGAAAACCGCAAAGCTTTTGCTTCCTTGGCGTAGTGGTAGCATTGTGTCAACATTTCATCGAAATCCGAGAGGTACTTCTCAACTTACAGGCGTTTATAGGATCAGTGGATAGACCAATAGACAGATCGACGGAAATGGGTGACATGGTTTTTTACATGTCATATAACGTTTTCGAAAATGTTCGCGATTACAATGCTTTCAAACCAGTGGGCGTTGGAAGTAAAATACTAAACATCACACACGGTCAAGATTACTGTGATGTTCGTAAAACATCTCAAAGCATCAATTTTGTATTTAAAAAAATTATACGGGTACGGCAGAGGATGGACGGTTTTAAAAAAATCATAAAATAGTTAATTTTTACTCGAAAACAAATTTATTGATGGAATCAGGTTCACAAGGAAATAGCATTTGAGACAGTCAGGTGTGGAAAATCACATCAGGCATGTGATGGCCGAAATCGTTGATGCAGTGCTGAAGGCGTTCTTGGAAGTTCGCGTAGACTCTCTCCAACATCGCTCTCTCAACTTGGGCGACTTCCACGCGAATTTCGCCCTTCAATTTGTCAAGAGTTCGGGGCTTGTTCGCGTATACTACATAAGAAAAAATCGCATATGGATAAATCTGGGGACCGAGGAGGCCAATGAACATCGCCTAGCCTGGAAATAAGGCGACCAGGGAAGAGAAGGCGAATAACGTCCATGGATGCTCGGGCTGTGTGGGCGTTCGCCCCATCCTGCTGGAACCACACACGTCGGATTGGAACTCGTCGCCGGCGTAATTCAGGGAGAAAGAAGTTGGTGATCATGTCGACGTAGCGCTCTGAGTTCACGGTAACATCATGACCATTACCGTCTTCGAAGAAGTAAGGGCCAATGATGCAAGTGTGTGATACAGCGAACCAAACCGTTACTTTTGGGCTGTGCAGCGGTCTTTCGTATAACTATTGCGGATTTTCGTTAGCCCAATAACGACAATTCTGCTAGTTAACCATGCTGTTTAGGTGAAAGTGGGCTTCGTCACTCATAAACAACACATTTTGATCGGTCAGTGCTTCCATCTCACGTGCGAAGTTCATTCGTTGTGCATAATCTCCGGGCTGTAACTGTTGCACAATGGCCAATTTGTAGGGGTGAAAGCGGAGATCCATATGCAAAATTCGCCTTACCGAACGATCATAAGGCGAAGTGCAGCAGCATGTTTCCGGGCAGATCGAGTCGGACTGCGAAGAAAGACCTGTCGAACGCGTTCAACATTTTCAGGAGTTCGAACTGTTCGCGGAGCTCCTCTTGGTCTTCTGTTGACCAGTTCACCACGCCTGCGAAGTGATTCAACCCAACGAAGGATGGTGTTTCGAGAGGGAACAGCTCTATTCCGATGAATGTTGAAGTGGCGACGAAACTCACGCTGTACGACAATTACTGACTCATTATTTCGGACGAAACAATCATAGGCGAAAACGCGGTGCTCCACCGTCCAAGGCTCCATATCGAGAACTGGTAAAATAATGCTAGGATCTCAGGAGTCAAACGGCACCCTCCCCACCTCTCTCATAGACGGATGCGGAGAGTACTACCCATCCCAAAAACGTCCGTCCTCTCTGCCGCACCCTGTATCAAGTTCATTACTAAATTCAACACCTAGGGTCTGGGTAGTAACCAACTGAGAGTGTTGGATTTAGTTATGAAATTATTATGCAACAACATGTAATTCATAAATCTAAAACTGATTTTCATAAATATACACAATTGAGATTACGGATTTATTTAGATACATGTTATCAAATAAGGCAAACAAATACATATGATACATTTCTTGTCGTTTTTCGGCAGCAAACTTTCTTATTAAGATCTTGTTTGGATAATACTTACTTTCTGTCGTGGAGGGTAATCTACTAGAAGTAAATGAGCTGGGCGTCCTAGGTGCAAGGTGATTATTTTGTGCGCATTCAGAAATAGTGACTTGTCTTCTCTTGAAGGTTCTATCTGAAACTTCATCGTGCTTCAGTGGGGATTTTGGGGGCGAGTGTCTTTCGGGAAAGGCAGGATTCGGCTCTACGTAAGAACATGCGTCAGAAGTACTAAAAACAAAAAAATATGCAATATACCTATGCGAACACGATTTATACTGAGGGGTAAACCGCACTCAGAAATCTGTATAATAAGGGGAAATATTTCCCTGTAATTCCTATTGATGCCCAATAATTCCCCTTGCTGTAAATAATTCCCGCATAATTCCCCCTAATGCAACATAATTCCTCCGATTCCCCGTAATTCTCGCAAATTGACTGAAACACCTGTCAGGAGTTACTGGGAATTGAAGGGAATAAACTATTTTGACAGCCGCTTGTATCATAAGAACTGTTCTATATGATTAGTTTAATTCTTCTAATTCATCTTTTTAGATACTAATATACCTATGAATTGAAACACAGTTAAACTAATGATAAAAAATACAGCACAGTAATAAATTAATGTATACATGTTATAAATTGAATAAATACTTCCCTTATAAATATATGGTTCCTCGTATTATAGAGATCAGGTCATATTACTAATGTATGTGTATTAAATTGTCTAAACTACTGTTTAGGAGGACTCATGGCATTCTTTAGTGATATACTAATATTTCAAGGTTTGATCCTCCCAGTGGTTTCATTGAAGGAAAAATCATCACAAAGTACATTCAGTACGTTAAATCGTTAAATAAAATGAACCGGTTGTCCGACTATATATTGTCCTCCTCCCCATTTTTTTACTACCTTATAGAAGAAAAAGTCATATAAAAGTTATAGGGCCTAATATGAAGTTTATCATATGTAATCTGTTTTTGTATATCTCAGAGCAGTACTATCGAATAAAGTTGCATTATTTAAAGAAACACCTTATATATTTCCTTTTTTTTATTCACTATGTGACTATTCTTTAGCCACTTTAACCATAACCCTTCATCATTGTGATATAAAGATAAAAAATTTGTAGTTTAATATATATTAATATTTGTATAAGAATCGAATAAATACAATCTCTTATTATTATTATTATTATTATTTTGCGACCTACACTCAGTAGCATAGTGGATGTTCGTCGAACGCCTGGAGGAATTATGCTATTCTCCGAAGTCTTGCCTAGACCTTGAGGAAGAATACGTTGTAGTGTATTTATGATAGACTAGGTACGTCTAATTATGTGGACCGTTCCCATTATCGCTACTTTTTGTAGGGTGTTTATGGTATGTTGTTTTTCGTTACCGGGAATCTTGATGACCTGGTGTTGGAAATTCTTTTGCAGGGTTCCAGTAGCGCCTATAGTGATTGGTACTATTTGTGCTTTCAAACCCCACATTCTGTGTATTTCTATTTTCAGGTACTGGTATTTTAACATCTTTTCAGATTCTTATAGCCACATCAATTATGTAACACCGCTTTTTGGAAAAGTCTTTTAACACAATATCTGGCTTGTTGGCTGATATTGTCCTGTCGGTTTGAATTTGTTGATCCCAAATGATTACAACATCATTACGTTTTTCAACAGCTTTAGGAATGTGATCATACCAGTTCTGTGATACTTCGTTTCCGAAATGTTTGCATATGTTGTAGTGCAAATATGCACATACTTTATTGTGTCGGTCGATATATTCTTTTTTGGCTAATACCGGGCAACCGGTCATTACGTGATGAATAGTCTCATCGTATTGCTTACACAACCGACATTTGCATCTACATTTTAACACGACTCTTCTAAGACACCCGGTATACACAGAAAAAAATATTACATGGAGAACTTTATATTATTTTTTTATACTCCAACTACCACGAAGGCATAAGGCCTAAACACCCATTGAGTACCGTGGGGCTATAGGGGGATACAGGGGAAAGAGGGAACGCCACACGGACTCTGGCGAGGGAACACGTGTGCATGCAACATGCACACATTCTGGCTCCGCCTACGAGATCCGCCGGGTGGCACATCCGCGTTCGACAGTCAGAGACCGTCTACCACCTACGGACAATCACAACATCCATAGCCAAGAGAAAAATTTCTCTTGGAACGGATTCAAAGCCGCACAGCGACTGATCAGGAGACCGAAGAGTCTACCGCTGCTGCCTGAACCCTATAATAAGCTTTATATAGGTACAACTTTTTCTTGTAGAAGTTCATTAAGAAAAGTTTGAGGTCTATTTATAGCCACACTGACGTATTTTTATATCGTTATCACACTATAATGACAAGTTAAACATGGATGATCGACTTCATACTAGGTACTTGAACAAGGTAATGTAATGGTGTTGCGAAATTTACGAGGTGTAGTTTCGCAGACATAAATAACATGTTTTCTTAAAGAAGATATATTATTAAGAAACAGGCATTTGGTAAAAAATGCTTTTAATGCCCCGCGTAATCCTCCATAATTCCCAATAAATCCCCTTATTTCATCGCAATTCCTGTTAATTCCCCGTAATTCCTAAGGAATTCTGCTTTGTGTACAACTAATTCTCCAACGACTGACTCCTCGATTTACACTTACTCAAACGTGCAAGAGATGTAATTCATCTTCTCAGTAGGAGAATCGGGAAAGAACACATTTGCATTATTTTTATTTTCTTGCCAGATCTTCCTTAATTCCTGCAGGTACTCTTTAAGTGAACCTCCTGTAACGTACTCCATAATCATCATGTGAGGTTCGTCGATTGTGACACAACCCATAAGCTTCACAACGTTTTCGTGACAACCAATTTTCTTTAGAGTACCAATTTCATTGCAAAAATCTCTTATATCCTCCTTTGGAGCTCCCTCTACAAATAAGAATGATATCTTCATTTAACAAGCTGCTTTTCTAGTGCTTAGATATTACCTCTCAGCTGTTTCACGGCAGCTACTACGAATTCAGGGTTTTGATTGAGTTCATATACCTCCGCTCTAAAAACTTTTCCAAAAGCACCGCTGCCTATTTCCTCTCTCAAAAGGATCTTATTCCTCGGTATTTCATATTTGTCGAATTCGTTTACCTTCTAAAGGGATTGAAGATGTATTTGTACAGGATGTTAATAAAGTTCCTAAACAAAGTGGTGACCCCTTGACTGATTCTGAGAATAAGTTCGTATAAGCATAGGCCCGGCAGGGGTATTATGTAAAAAACGTGAAAAACGTCAAAAAAACCGACGAAATGTCATCTTGCAGACTAAGTAGTTTTTATGGCCGTATCGTCGGTCGTTCCTACAATTGTATGACGCCTTTATGACCTCCTTGATTTTCATAGTTTTCTACATTTCCATGCCAGCGCCCTATTTTGAGGTTATGTCACAAATATCGATTTGCATCAAACTGTTCGTGCTTTTGATTAATATGATGTCTTATCAGCCTGAAATTTCCTACAATTCAAAAAGAAAGCATAACTCACAATAGGAGAGCGCTGACACTCACACGGAACAGGTGCAATCTAGAAATTTTTGAAAGAGAGAAAGTACTATGACAATCAAGTAGGCCATAAAGGCGTCCTACAATTGAAGAAACGACTGACGATATGGCCCTTAGTGTGCAAATAGTTTATTCCACGTTTACTCGCTATGATCGCTGTTCGCTAACGTTTAAGCACCACGTACAGCTACGAAACGAGTTCACAACAAAAGTGTACAACAGCTTGTGCTAAGTTAACATCTTGTAGAAAAACCTACGTTATGTCACAGAAAACCGACGAAATCTCACTTTTCAAGATACGTAATACCCGTGCCGAAGCGCTTCTTTTCCAAGCTACAAGGCGTCAAGCTTTGATACAGTAAGTCAAACTTTTCTGAAAATCGGTTTTTTAAAAGCTTTATTTACCTTAACCTGTTTTTTGTATGTATGTTAGTATGTTTGAGATAAATCTTGGAACTGAACTTTGAACCAGTTAACCTTATCCAATCGAGCTGAAAGTTTGGTACACCCGTTTGCTTCGGAAAATGACGATTCATCATTTCCATACTGACCCCTATGATATGGATATCAAATGAAAGGGCCTAAGCAAAGTAACGTCACCTTAAGTCCAATATGAATTTATCGCTAAATGGCGACTTACGAGTATAGTATCCATGACCACTGCCATTATATGGGTCTTAAATGAAAGAGCTTGATGCGAGAAACACAAAAATATCATTCTGAATTCCATATGGCAGTCGCCGCAAAATTTCGATTTATGTTTCGAAATTTTATAATTTTATTTTATTTTATTTTATTTTATTCATTACAACACCCTACAGTAAATACCAATTACAGGGTGAGGAAACACAGAACATAACACAGATATAAAAGACAATAATAAGTAATAAGTAATAGTCTACAAAGTGTAAAAGATACATGCTGGTTACTTAATAGTATTTTTTATGTCTGCAATTCTGCACTTAAATATATCAATCCTGTTACTTGCAGAATTGTAATTCCTACACATCACATGTAAAGGGGAATAGTGTAAATAATTTGTCCGTGCCGCAGGTAGATAAAACGTAACGTTTTGTCGGGATGTCAGCCTAGGTACGTTAAATGATAACTGACCCAAGAAAGCTAAATCATCACTAGCATTATTGATCAATTTAAATAGAAAAATCACTGACTGGCAAGTGCGCCTTGCTTCAAGACTGCTGATTAGATGTTTTTCAAGTAAGGAATCATGAGGTATACCTATGGGCGGGTAAACGCCATCCACTTTCAGTGACAAATATTTTAAGAAACGTCTTTGAACACATTCAAGCCTACTTATAAGAATAATATGATGCGGATTACAAATTAGCAATGCATACTCAAGCTTCGACCTAACATATGCATAATACAGCAACTTCAAGGTGGTACTCTGAGTGAAGTCACGACAGTTTCTTACAATAAAGCCGTACAGGCGGTTTGCCTCGGAAATTTTGCTGTCAATGTGTTTGACGAATGTTAGTTGGGAGTCAAATGTCACGCCTAAGTCACATAAAGTTGAAGTCATCTGAATAGAGCTACCTGACAGGGTATAGTCAAATAACAGGGGATTTTTTTCAAAGTGTAAGACATTACGTAACATTTATTGATGTTTAATGACAGATTGTTTTGTGAGCACCAAGCATCCAACCTGACCAGATTTTCTAAAAGTTGATCACAGTCTGATTCATCAACTACACGACAAAACATCTTCAGATCATCAGCGTAAACAATTCTCGCCAACAGCATTAACTATGTCATTCACAAATATGACGAACAATAAAGGGGTTACTGCCTTGTGGCACTCCGGAATTGGCTACATACTTCGACGATCTGATGCCATTAAACATCACAAATTGATTTCATCCAGTGAGGTAGGACTTAAATAGTTGTATTAAAGGATCGGATAATCCATGAGATTTCAGCTTATGCAATAGCATCCTGTGATCAACTCTGTCGAAAGCCTTGGAGAAGTCTGTGTAGACCACACCTGTTTGTAATCCTCTGTCAATGTTTTCTGCTATGGTCTGTGTGAAGTTCATCAGATTTGATACTGTTGAGCGCCCTTTCATGAAACCATGTTGTTGAACACATATTTTTCTGCTGACATGATGATATAGTCTGTTATATATTAATACCTCTAAAGCTTTTGAAAAACTGCACAATATTGATATAGGTCTAAAATTTGATACATCATTCCTACTGCCGTTTTTGTGTATTGGACATACTTTAGACAACTTCCATAATTCTGGAATTGTGCAGGTGGTAAGGCACAAGTTGAATAAAACGGTCAAAGGACACGCCAACACAGAGGCACAGTCACGCAAAATAAAACCTGGTACATTATCCGGTCCGATAGTCATCTTAGGTTTTATTTGCTTCAAGGCTAAGACAACTTCATCCTCCTCAAATCTAGTAATATTGAGTGGTTGTTCATTGCTCATTAAAAAGTCATCAGTTTCTTCGGTGGCTGATGAAGACGAGTAGTATTTGGAGAAGTTATCCGCCAAAGCATTTAATATGTCATTCGGTTCCAAAAGTTCATTACCATTGTAAATCATCCTACTTGATAAGTTTGTTGATTTTCGCTTAGAATTTAAGAAGCCCCAAAATTTATTCGAATCTCTTTGTATTTCATTCTCAGCTTGTCTGACATATATTTTGTATGCTTCATCTGAATCTATCTTAATTTTTGATCTAAGTTCCCTGAATGTCTGATACGTTTTAGGATCATTGTTGCGTCTGTAAGATCGGTGAATCTTCAATACAAGTAAGATAGAAGTTTTATGGACTCAAATTGTTAAAATATATGAAAATTATATAGAAATTACTAAACTAGTTAAATGAAACCATACATACTAAGAAGTAAAAAATAAATGAAAGAAAAAATACATTTTTATTTAGCTGTTATTAAAATGAACTGAAAATTTTAAAATATTAGAAAGATTTAAACGACAATGAATCTCCTTCGTCTTAAGTTTTCAAATAAGAGCGTTTAAGACGTATATTGACAGCAGGATGGAATAAAGAGTGTACTATCCTTTTATTTGAAAACTTAAGATTGAATATTTCCAATTGGAAAACGATATTTTGAAAATTTCAGATCATTTTATTAACAGCTAAATAGAAGCTTGTTTTTGAAAATGTATTTTCTTATTTTATTTATTTACGTTAAAATCGTAACAATCCTTGAACGATTTTTTGAAAATTGTAGGCAGGTACAGACATATCGCCAAAAATTTAATTAAATCTAATAATTAAGGCCCATCAATAAAACCGAAGCCCCCAAAAAGAAAAAAATACCAATTTTAATCCGGTGATCTAGGTTGCCATAACAGTTTATGGTTCTGGCATTTTTCTTGAGCTGTTTTGGTTAACTTTTTGCTGATACAACTGTACTTACTAAACAAAATCGACTAAAAGGTTATTGGGATTTTTTCTAAAAATCGAATTTTTAAACGTCAAACCCTATAGCTTAAGATATACTTAAGATATACCGGTCGCATGTTTCTTTTCCCGAGACTATTCTTAGAATCAGTCAAGGAATCTCCTTGAACTCTGGCCTTCTGTCGAGTGCAACAAAGGTATCGGAATGGCTCTTGGATTTTTCTAGTCAAGGTACTTATGAAAAAGCTCAATGTTAGATCTTTACTAAATTTGAACAATTGAAAGAACCGAAAACTACTTATATATTGAAGTCTAAGATCGATGTCAAATGTGTGAAGGTAGTTAAAAGTCCTAGAAATTTACCAGGTCGATTGATGAAAGGATTATTAAGGGTAGGTATGCCTTTGGTATCTTTTAACAATGATGACCTTGAATCCATGCTTGAACCTCACCTGCTAAGTCATTTCAAGATCAACTTTTCTTTAACTAGGAACTATCCACTTTGGTACCGGCATCGGAAATTTTTTCTTTCTAATAGTTCTCATCTATTGGTATGACCTTGAATATCACGCTCAAGGACAAATCCTAGGTCATTACTGAAATTCGTTTAAAGATTACTGAATGTCTGACCTTGGTTTTTTAATTCTGGTAAATATCTAGGCATTTTCCCCAGCCTCACACATTTGATCTTCATTTGAATTTTGGAGGCGAGCTTGATCTTAGATTGTAATACATAGTCGGATGAAGAATTTTCCGTTTTTCGACCGTCGGGGGCGGTTCAAATATTACGTAGCAGATTTTTTCACAATTATGAACCCCCCCTTTCCCTTGTCAGCCCAGATAAGAAAATCTCTTTCTACTCTCCCATGCTTAAGTAAACAAAGGTATATGTATCTTTTAATCTGTTCTGGTTACTTTATTGATTCATGAGCAGCAGTTGCCCAGATTAGAAATAAGGAGCAGGCTTGGGATAGAGGAAGTTAAAGCACGTAATATTTTTAATTTGACTTGGTGATTCAATTATTATAATCTTAATATACAGTGAAAGCTCCCATAAGCGGACACTCACGGTTCCGTAACTTTTGTCCGCTTATGGGAGGTGTCCGTTTAAAAGAGAGTATGTAAGTATAGAGTATAAATAACGGGGTATATAATCATGAGGAAATGAGGTATTATAATCATGAGAAAAATGAAACAGAAACTCGCCACATTTTTAAAGTATGTATTTATGCTATATATCTATATAATATATGTACATATCCGCATACAAAAACATAAATGCTTCAATAACATACATGGTACGAGAATTTAAAAAAAACATTATTCTTTAGCTTGTTGAAAAAAGTAAAATGTTTGTCTGACGAAATTTCACCATCTTTTGCTGAAGGAGACAATTTTCGTAATAACTTTCTAAATTTTTCAAATGTTGAAATGCAGTGAAATCATCTTTAGCAAATTTTTTCAATATAGAAATATGATTTAGAGCTTCCCCATATGAATTTATCGTTTTTGAACCGCTTAGTGAGTCCACCAGTTCCACTTCTTCTTCTGAGTCGTTTGGACTACCATATTCAAGTTGGCCTGGGCTTTCTACATCCAAATTCGAAAAGTTGCCAATGGCATTTTCTTCTGTTGTTATGTTATTGTCTATGGCCAGGAAATCATCTACTTTCTGGGGATCTGCTACTCCTAAATGTTTGGCATGTCACAGTAACTGAGCAAGTGTCGCTAAGGGCAGATCGTCTTCAGCATCGCAATAATTTTGCTCAGCAAATTCTGAGCTACATTCACTTTTTCTGAATCCAGCTTTGCCAAAACAATTTTTAATTGTAGAGGAATTTACTTTATTCCATGCTGTTTTTATAAAATACAAAGCTTCTAACACATTGATAGACTTTGTAAGCTCAGATAAGCTTTGACCATCGTCAATTTTTGTTAAAATATGTTTTAAAATCAAGTGCCGATAATAAAATTTAAAGTTCTGTATGACACCTTGATCCATGGGCTGACAAACAGAAGTTGTGTTTGGCGGTAAAAATATAATTTTCACATTTTTCATTTTCATATCACGAGGATGAGAGCATGCATTGTCTAAAAATAAAAGAACTTGCCTTTTTTGGATTCTCATTTTCCGGTCGAATTCGACTAACCACTCAGACATGATTTCTCGGGTCATCCATGCCTTTTTGTTGGATTTCCAAGTCGCTGGTAGATCCTTAATAGCAACGTTTTTTAAAGCACGGGGACGAGCCGCTTTCCCGATCACAATCAAATCGCATTTTTCACCGGCCATATTTGCACAGAATAAAATGGTTAGTCTATCTTTAGACAACTTTCCACCCACACATGTTTCTCCTTTAAAGGACAGAGTTTTGTCGGGCAATGCGCGAAAAAAAAGTCCACTCTCATCTGCGTTGTACACATCTTCTGGTTTGTAGCCAAGCAACATGGACGGAAGTTTCTCCAAAAATTGTGACACATCAACTTGATCTACTGCAGCAGCTTCGCCAGATATGCATTTGAAACTCAGACTATGTCTCTTGCGCCACTTTTGCAGCCACCCGTCGGACGCACTGAAATTATTATAGCCCAAAGTAGTGGCGATTTCTTTAGCTTTCATTTTCACTAACGGCCCTGAGATTGGAATGTTCTGACTTCTAGCTTTCACAAACCACTCAAAACATGTTTTGTCTATAGCAAAACCTTCCTTTTTTAAAAAATCCTTCTTTTGATTTATATTAGTTCCTGATTGCCATTTACTCCTGATATCTTCCTTATTTTTGGCAATTTCAGCTGCTTGCGTTTTCCCAATATTAAACCTCTTTGCCAAATGACGAACTGAAACACTTTCTCTGTCTAATACGTTAACAACTTCCATCTTTTCCTTTAACGAGAGCATCCTTTTTTTTGGTGCCATTTTACAGTTACAATAATAAAATACGTAACTCAATCAACTACTAATTTGCCTGAACTGAAGACAAGCCACAAGATTACATACAGGCTACCCAACGAAATGCGTAAATGGGGAATCACCTAATATAAATTGGGGAATTACCGAATTTTATGTATGTAGATATGTGCATTGCAATAAGCGGAACTAAAAAATCGTCCGGGTATTAGAGTTTCGCGTCCGCTTATGGGAGATTTTTTGATCACATACAGGAAAATCTAGTGTCCGCGTCCGTTTATAAGAGCGTCCGTTTATCGGAATGCATTTAACATTGAAAATTGATGGCTGAAATTCGGTTCCAGGAACTTTGTCCGGTTAAAAGAGATGTCCGCTTATAGGAGCTGTCCGCAAGGAGAGCTTTCACTGTATTTACTATTAGCACTTTCATGTATTCTGTTTTTTCAAAATGTCGGTATATAAAGTCAAATTAACAGTCCTCAGTCCATGACACATTCATCCATGACTCTAAGGCCCGTATCGTCAGTCGTCCCTACAATTGTAGGGCGCGTTTATGGCCTCCTTGATTGTCATACTCCTTTCTCTCCTTCAAAAATTTCTAGACTACACTTGTCCCGTGTCAGCGCCAGCGGGCTCCTATTGTGAAGATATGTTTTCTTTTTAAATTGTAGGAAATTTCAGGCTGATAAAACATGATATAACTAAAAAGCAAGCACAATTTGATGCAAATAGATGTTTGTGACATAACCTCCAAATAGAGTTCTGACACGGAGAAGTAGAAAACTACGACAATCAAATAGGCCATAAACGCGCCCTACAATTGTAGGGACGACTGACGATACGGGCCTAAGTCTTCGATGACATTGGGTGTTTTCTGCTCGTGTACCTCACTTTCGTGTGATTTTGGAATATCGATATCGTTCTCTTCGACGCATTTAACATCTCGAAGCACATTCATATTCAAAGAATCCCTGAAGATGGGTTTCGTTTTCAAGCATAGATAAGCTGGGTTCCATATGTGTTCAAATCAAATCGTAAAGTAAAGCAATAATATTGCTGACGTAATCACTATCCACACCCACCCTTCCCCCATGTCATCAAAAATACGCAAAGCAAAGACCCCCGCACCTCTTTAATGATCAGGTAATACTTAAAAGGACCCCGGTGTCAAAAACAAAGGTTTAGATAATATTCAAGGTCAAATCCAAGGTCAACGTTGAACTCCTTGTCTAAAGTTAATAAACACTTCACCTTGCCCTTTTTCAAAAAGATCTTGCATAGAAAAATCAGATGCGTTCCATTACTTTTCAACACCCGACACGTTAACTACATATACATGGTGATTCACAAGTCTTGACCAAAAATGAAACATCATACAAACAACTGCATTTTAGGGAGTTTTCTATGTAACATTTTTTGACGGCTTCATTAATTTTAAAAATAAAAAACATTTTTTTAATACCTCCAAAACTGTCAACTGGAATGAACTAAAATTTGGTACGTGCATTTATCTAATTATTGTCCATATTCAAAAGTCTTTACTTAAAATTAACGTGCACCAGTGGCGGAGATACAGTGGATTAGTGGCTTTATTTTTCCAAATAAAAATAGTACGCCACAGTATTTTTTTAGAAACGCGCAATTTTTCGAATTTTATCTTCAATTTGCTACAAATAATTATCATTGTGTTCTTTTCCTAGTGTGCACTGTTTTCGTAAAAATAAAAATAAAACAGATATAGCGCATACCAAATTTTTGCTTATTCCAATTGACGGTTTTGAAAATACGTAGTCATGCCATAAGTTCTGTCCCTCGTTTTCAAACAAGTGTAGACCTGTTAATACTTGTCCGATTGTTTACATTGTGGTTTCAGTTGATTAAGCGCTTTTCGGGTAATTACATATACATCAGTTTGTATTGATCTCTCGAAGCATAACGATGGAGTGGGGCAAGGCAGAGAACCGTATTGCAGTGATAGCTTTACATAAGTGTAATCACAGTGCTAGTCAGATTTTTGAACTCTTACGCGGCCTTCAAATATCGCGTAAATTTGTGTCTAGGACCATTCAGCGGTACAATGAGACGTCCTCTGTTGATGACAGGCCAAGAAGCGGAAGACCTCGTCAAGTAAGGACTCCAGCAGCCATCAAAGGCGTAAAAGCCAGGATTCAAAGGAATCCACTCCGGAAGCAGAAGATCCTATCCAGGGAAATGAAGATTCCTGTCCGGACGATGTCGCGCATCATTAAACAAGACCTAGGGCTAGGGGCTTACCGGAGACGTACGGGCCAGCGACTTACGGCCACCTTGCGACACATCAGGGCGACAAGATCCAAGAAGCTCTTGGAGAGGTACGCAGCTGGGGGATTCCGAAAGATTTTGTTCACGGATGAGAAAATCTTCACCATAGAAGAAAAATTCAACCGACAAAATGACAAAGTGTATGCAAGGAGTTCACAGGAAGCTTCGGAGATCATTCCGAGAGTTGAGAGAGGCCACCACCCTGCGTCAGTCATGGTTTGGTGGGGGGTGTCCTACGAAGGGGTCACTCAGCTCCATTTCTGTAAACAGGGCGTGAAAACAAAAGCGGCAAACTATCAGAGCGACATACTGGATCCTATCGTCAAGCCTTTAAGTGGTATATTGTTTGCCAACCAACACTGGGTCTACCAGCAGGATTCCGCCCCCGCTCACAAGGCTAAGAGTACGCAGCGCTGGCTGGAAAGCAATGTGCCAGAGTTCATTGCTGCGGAAGATTGGCCCTCAGGGAGTCCGGACCTCAATCCTTTAGACTACAAGTTGTGGGACCTGCTAGAGCAGTTGGCCTGCTCCAAAGCCCACCGTAATATCGAGTCCCTGAAAGCGGATTTGATCCGATCAGCGGCAGCTATTCCTTTGGAAGCTGTGCGTGCAGTGATAGATGAGTGGCCCGCGAGATTGAAGCAGTGTGTGAAGGCCAAGGGGGGACATTTTGAATAAAACTGTTTGATTATGAATTCTAAAAATGTTGTCGAATAAATAATATCTTTCATATAAATATATCTTATCTTGTTTCATTTTTATCATGAGATTATCATGGGACAGAACTTATGGCACGACTACGTATTAAAAAAAATGTTTTTTATTTTTAATCTTCAACACACCGTATCGTTTGAATCACCCTGTATAGGTCGCCCTAAATAAAAAAATATAGTATTACCAAAATAAATTCCAAGGGAGTGTACTGCACATTGTTTTCAACCTTGAAAGTTCTGGAAGGAACCGTTGGAGGCTCTATATTATCTTGTTGCATGTCCTCACATAACATAAACTTTTTTATCGTGGTCTTCAGTCGTCCACTTTTTAAATCCTTAGAACTGTGTATAAACAATAAGAGGATCATTAGCGTGGTAGATAGCCCTCCCAAAATAATCAGGAAAGTGGTGAGCTTACTTTTCGGTACTGCAATTTAAAAAAACTCATTCAAAAGCTACTCGTATATACAGGGTGTTCCTTAATGATATGCAAATATTTAATGATGCGAACCTACATAAAAAATTAATGTTAGCTTGCTTCATAAACTATGGTCCAAAAATGTTTCCTTACAAAAACTCGGGGTGTTGATGTTTTAGGAAAAAAATGGAAATTAATTAATATTTTCAGAACCGCTTCAGATATTTCACTGATATTTAGTATATAGTGAAAGTTAATAAGGTTGCATATTTTTCAATGAAAAAATAATTTTTAGTTTTAACAGTGGCGTGCGTACGGGTATTGACTTCGAAAAGATAAAAAATGGTACACCAATGGTTTTTGCGCCAAATAAAAATTATTTTTGAATTCCCAGAGTTTAAAACAAATGACCTCTCTTGAGTTGCTTTCCTTCGATGCGCCATTTTTGAGTAAAAAAATAAAAACTGTTATATTGTCCGAGAAAATTAATGTAATAATTGAAGAATGCAATTTAGCAATAACTATCTAGTTGTTCTGGAATATATCACTTCACTGGCTTTTGACATCTGACAAGTCTCTGTTATTCACATCTGTACGCTGTGACATCTTTTTCATTATTTAGTTTTTACAATCTTGTTAATAATGGTGAATTATTCAAATGAAGAAATGGGGGAAATGCATTACGTATTCTAATATTCATCGTCGTCTTGTTGAAACTGGTTCTGTCCGAAAAGGAACAACTGAAGGTAGACCTCTAAGTGATTTTTTGTTCTATCCTTACCATATTTTAACAGGTATCTATTACTTCCCATTGATTTTCCAAGGCGTGTGACCTTTTGTCAGTGGTATCTTCAAAAAATTACACAAAATCCGCAATTTGAATCAATGATTCTGTTCACGGACGAAGCTAATTTTTCTCGAAATGCCATTCAAAGTTTCCACAATAATCATTTGTGGGCAGAAGAAAATCCCTATGCCATAACCGAAACACATCTCCAACACCAATTTTCGGTTAACGTATGGGCAGGAATTATTGGCAACCACTTTATTGGCCCATTCTTCTTGCCGGGACGACTTGACGGCCAGACTTACCTCAATTTTCTTCAACAACAGTTGCCTTTGCTGCTTGATGATGTTCCGTTAGTAATAAGAAACAATATGTGGTACATGCATGATGGGCCGCGGTGGGCCCCAAGAATGGCCACCAAGGTCCCCACACCTCAACAGATTAGATTTCTTTTTGTGGGGCTATCTTAATACACTAGTGTACACAAGTCCCATTAACACTGCAGGGGAATTAAAAAAAAGAATAGTTGCAGCTTGTGATAGAATAAAAAACACTCCAGGGATATTTCAACGAGTGCGCAATTCCATGAGAAGGAGGGCATGCTACCGCGAGGGCGGTAGCATGCATACTAAGTGAAGGGGGCCATTTTCAACAATTTTTGTGATCATTTTGTTGGTTTTAATGTTATGTTTATGTTGTCAGTTGCTGTTGTTCATTACTCCTAATGTGTTTAATTTTTCCAATTAAATTAATAATAATTTTGCAAGTTAGACAATAGAACGGTTTTTATTTTTTTACTCAAAAATGGCGCATCGAAGGAAAACAATTCAAGAGAAATCATTTAATTTAGATTGAACGGGGGATTCAAAAATAATTTTTATTTGGCAAGAAACTATTGGCGTACCATTTTTTTCTTAAAAATATCGAAGTCAATACCCGTACGCACGCCTCTGTTAAATGTAAAAATTATTTTTGCATTGAAAAATATGCAACTTCATTAAATTTCACTGCGTACTAAATATCAGTGAAATATCTTAAGCGGTTCTGAAAATATTAATTAATTTCCATTTTTTCCCAAAAACTTCAACATACCCGAGTTTTTGTAAGGAAAAATTTTTGTACCATAGTTTATAAAGCAAACTAACATTAATTTTTCATGTAGATTCACACCCTTAAATATTCGCATATCATTAAGGAACACCCGGTATACAGGGTGGCCGATATGTGAGACTGGCTTGTATCTTGAATATTTGTGAAATGAAATAAAATACGTCCATTTGTTCATCTTAATCTTTTATTGAAACTATGAAAAATAATATCAGATAAATGTCCGCCTCTAGAAGCCGCGCAAACCTGAGCCCTGTTGATAACATTTTCCTTCACTTTTTGGTACGTTTCGGGAGAAATATTTTCAAACGATTCCGTAATATTGTTCTTCAGCTGTTCCAGAGTTTTTGGTTTGTTGGCATATTTTCCAAAAATACTTAATGAAAAACGTCAGGAGCGGCACCAAACCGTGACTCGACGAGGATGTAGTGGTCGTTGATGGATATTTCCGGAGTTCGAGCAGTTCGAACACGGCCCGACCTTGGCGAGTCTTTAACTTCACCTGTTTGCTCAAATGACGAATGGTGTTGACACTGGCCACATTATTTCGATCGAAATCTCGTCGCAAAACAATATTATTATTAAAACATTTTAAAAATACGGACGCGTTGTGGAATCGTGTAGTGCTAGATGATGAAATAGACACACGTGCTTTAAACAACTACTACGGCGCCACTTACTGAAATGCGTATATCAAAAATAGCGCAATTTAAATCAGTCAGTTATATATTGGCCACCCTGTATATGCTCCGCTAGTATAGTGTATTTTTTTCTTCAATACTCACTAATAAGACTAATAGAAGAGAGATATATGCATTCATTGTAATAATCGGTAAATTCAACAGTGAAATTATACAATACTCCAGGACTTAGATCAGATAAAGGCAGCTTAATGCCGTATTTCTCATGGCTAACATTTTTATCAGGTACGTGAGTGTATGTTTTTGGCGCATCGTTACTTCTATGGCTATAAAAAAAGAAAATTTATTTTACCATCACAGTACTTTCTTTGCTGGTAGAAGGAGTAACGCTTTTAGGCTACATCAACATATTTTCCAGAAACATTTTGAAGGAGAATATTTGTGGAATAACCTGTTTCTCACATCTTCAAAAAGGATGAACTACGTATCTACCGATACGCAAAATATTTTTTTAGGGTGGAAGTGCATACTATCAATATTACTTTTAGATATGGATCATTCAGCATATGTTGCATTCACGTTGCACTTATCTTACAAAAGCACTTCTTCAATCCTCTTTAGATCTTTAGTACTTACTAGTAAATTCTATGTACACTTAAATTTCTATGGAGATCTCCGATCCATTTTACAGAGTACACATTCCCATATAAGTTTGTGATGCTTTCAATATGATAAGGCGACTCTGATATCTTCTTGCATGCGCATTTATCATCTACACATTCTGCAAAAATAAGTGGAATTATTTTCTAAAATGTCTATCGAGCTTTATTCAGAATCCGAATTTCGAACTTGGAAATGATGCCCGTGTCAGCGCAAGTATTTAACGCAATTTCTTGTTGATATTACGCCTCAATACAATACAATCCAATTAATATCTGATGTTGTAGTGCGTTTATAATATCTGAGCTTGATTTTTTGTTGATACTAAAACAATATAGAACAATATTGGAGATATGAAATAACCGACTCATTTGGCAAGATTATCAGATGTAATAAGTACTTCAAGACACCAACAAAAGGCATGTATTAATTTTCTTGTTATCATCGCATTAGGTACTCATATCTTATCATGTTTATATGAAGTATCACAAACGGCTGTGCACAGATTGAAGCTGAAAACTGTGTGGAGTTATATTTTATGATTTTACTCCTTAAGCTCGTTAGCGCCATTTTCTGGCGGCAGTGTATTTATACATAGGCATATTTCATATGTTACCCCATATATTTGCTCTTAAGACTTAGAATGATAGACATATTTTTTTTATACAGGGTATTTGGTGCATAGTTTGCCAAATTGAAATGGCGGAGAGGGGAGATCTTTTTCTATCACCCCAGGTCCCTCAAACAGTTTTTAGCACAACAGCATTAATCACTTAGCATGCGTTCTATCATTGTCTTCATTCTATTACAAAAACAAGACTCCAAAAACTCCAAAATAGTTGTCGATTTGTGTTTAATCCCAAGAAGTATGATCATGTTTCCTTAAAGAGATTTCAGCTTGGTTGGATGTGTATAGAAAATGCAAGTACCATATGGCAGTGTTTACATATAAGATCATATCTTCTCGCTCCCCCTTGTATCTTTATGGGAAATTTGTTTTCAGACAAAGTAATTCAGAAATTGATTTCAGACACAAAAAGAGACTAGAGATCCCTATGTATAAAACAACGTTATTTCGTAGTTCATACACTTACAATGCTATCATAATTTATAACGATTTAGATGAAAATATAAAGGATTGGCCAGTAAACAGATTTCGTAAGCATGTGAAACAGTTTTATTTGTCTCTGTAGTAATTGTGGAAAAGTTAGTTTTCGATTACCATCAAATCTTATATTTTATTTCATTTTTCATATACGTAAAATGTATAGATGTGTATATATGTATCTGTGTATGTATGTCAGCCAGCTATCAATTTCGTCTGTTTTGAGGCGTATTTAGCTGCTTGTCAAAGTTTCGTTTGATTAGGTGATGTTTCAATGTATTATTTGGGTATGTTAAGTAGAGTAGCCCAGAGCTAGACTTCGCCTGCGTTGAGGTCACATTATATTGTAGTTTTTATAATGTGCCTAATAAAGACATTTTATTATTATTATTATTATTATTATTATTACTATTATTATTATTATTATTATTATTATTATTATTATTATTATTACCAGGTACTTCGTAGCTTATGCTTTGAGTCTCATTCGTCAAGTCCTCGTCTTCCAAAACTATCTCGTATTTACATCCGTTTTGTAAATAATCTGCCGGGTGTTCCATTTCGGTGCTAGGAAATACCAAAAATTGATTCTGAAAAATCACAGATATTCGGTCGTCGTTTGAGGTAAATATTTATTTTGTGATAACAAAAACTTACGTCTTGAACGCGGTGCTCCTCAACATCATTGACTGGATTGCAGTCCTCAGTATTTTTGAATCTAATAGATATCAGTTCGGTAGCAGCTGAAATTATTTATTGGTATATTCTTGTTTATAGATCAACATGATTAGAGAACCAAATGAAAGAATGGGTTGAAAATTTTTCAATCTTTATCTGTGCGGAAGTAGGCGAAAGAAAAGTCTGACGATTTCCACCTACCAATGGTTTGCCAAGTTGATTTTCATCCTAATGCCATAAATATGTCGACTATACGCTACTGGATCATAGATGTCGCACCACCAAAACAGTCGACTCATCTAGCAGCCCAAATGCCAATTATTCACAGTGCAGACCAACAATGTCCTTCTAAGCATATACAGACACGATTGAAATGAACATGTTTGCTTTCCGTGTCGACCAACCGCAGATAGCGCTGGTTCGTGCTCTTTAGGGCCGAATCGCCAGTCGTTGATCTCCTTGACTTCCATAGTTCTCTACTGTTCCGTGTCAGCGCTCTATTTTGAGGTTACGTCACAACTATATATTTGCATCAAATTGTTCATGCTTTTGATTTAAATCATCTGATTCGTCAGCCTGGAATTTTTCCTACAATTCAAAAATAAAACATAACTTCACAATAGGAGAGCGCTGACGTTGACATGGAATAGTAGAAATCTAGAAGTAAGACAGCCTTTCTGAAGAGGAGAAAGGCCTATAGAGATCAAGAAGGCCATAAAGGCGTCCTACAATTGTAATAATGACCGTCGATACGGCCTTTAGAACTCATCAGTGCGGTCTAGGTCTAATGGTATATTTATGCATATATGCATAGAAAGCCCTTATTGACCTGCTTTGTGAATACTTATGTAATGTCCTCGCATAACTGGAGCTCTGTTAACTAGAAGATTCGGCAGATGGCCAGAAGTGGGATGGATGCTTAGGAAACCAGAATTACGCGATCTTGATGGAGCGTGGTTGCGTTCTGGGCGCAATATTCGACACGTCAGGAGATAAATCTGTTGCCATCTAGATCATTTCCATGGAATTTCATGGCTCGGCCGGAAAGCGCTGCAATGTTTCTCGACTCGTCGATAGGAGAATAAATACCCGACCAGATGGCGGAAGTGTCAGTCACAGTCGAGTCAGTGGACAACGATCACGGAATTAAGATGGAATTATTAATCGGATTGTCCAATCGATATATGTAGTTATAAGTTTGTTATGAATTAGTTGCAAGTGTTATAAATAAGTGTAACAGTAATAAATTAGACTTTGAACAGTAAAAACTGTGTTTCCGTTACACTTAGAGACATCTATCTGTGCATCGCGCAGAACATCGAGCAGTTATGAGCCGGTAGCGCAGGGGTCTTTCGTTATCTTTCATCGTATGAGATGACGATGAAGATCAACTCGGCAAACTATTAGTAGATATTATAACAGTATTTTGAGTTTCCAAACAACCATACCCAACATTTTCTTTCCGTTCATCTGTCTCCAGGACCCCTAGTCCTATACCGCACTGATGAGTTGCTAATGAGCACGGATCAGCGCTGTCTGCGGTTGGTCGTGGTTACAGAAACGGAAAGCAAACGTATCCATTTTAATCTTTATTTGCTCAACACGGTAGATATTGAATAGTTTTCCAATAAGGAAGAATCATTACTGAAATGGGTTAAAAAACCTGCTTGTGAGATAGTAATGAAAATCTTATTGTTCACTAGTAACACCATTATTGATCGCAATGCGCCACTGAAAAGTGTTTCTCTCAGTACGTAAATACTGGTAACAAAAACACCTAGGTAAATAATAATGTCATTTGAAATTATATCATAATAACTAATATTAGATTAGAGTCCATTATAAGCGGGTTGCACTGTATATCCATACAATCTAAATCAATACCTACTCATAACTTTACCCCAAGATATATTCAACCTTATATAGCGATTCTGATCTAGATATGGAATAATAGCAAGGTCCTCGACTATTTTCGTACCTGAAAAATGAAAAAGTGTGTAGACATTCAATATTATTGGCGATATGATTAGAGTGTTTACCGTTCTCAGCATAAATGAATGCTAGATTCGTCGTTACCTAGAACAAATGTGCTATAATCATTATATCATGATGGATGATGATAAAGATATACAATTAACTTTCTTATTATGCATTATATATAGTAAACGCGATTGCCATATGGTATTTAATTACGACGCAATATCGTTATTTTACCTTTCAAAATGTATATTTTGAGGTTTTCAAATTTTTATATGAAGTAGAAGTGGCAAAACTCGAAAGTGTTTCAAATTCGACCCGCACGATTGGGATCTCAGAAACGTGGCTTAAGAGAGGGCAAAGGTGCGTATTTAAAAGATAACTAACAAAATACTTGTTAGAGAGTTTCGAACTTCAAGGTACTTCCGAAGAGATTCGGAAAAAATAGGCGGGCTAAGGATTATCGGACAGACAATAGTCGGCAGATATACATACAGATCGACGGAAATGGGGGACAAGGTTTGTCGGCTTGGAATATCCTCAAAAAGAAATATCTCTAGTTCGTAATTTTTCGGGATATTTTTTCGTTATTTGGCGTATGATCGGGAAATTAAAATATTCATAAAAAACAGAGAATTTTGTACCACGGTCCTTCACCAAGATGGGCCCTACTGAACATTCAAATTGCTATATTTGATATCAGGTATAATCCTGTCGAGAAGGAGTTTTATATGAACTGATCATCTTGAAGGTTCTCCATTTCGGCAAGTAGATACATCAGTTATTGCACTGTGTAACCAAGGTTCATGAATAAAAGTATAAGAATATAGAGTATATCAAATATTTCACTTGAAATATATTAGAAAACAAAGATAGATTTATAATCACAGATTTAAGTTTGTACGAGGGATGTATTTTTAGTTTTGCATATAGAAACATAGTAGGCTGCGCTGATTAAACGTCAGTACTGAATCTTAACCTCACTCTTTAGTAAACTTAAATTAAAGTTTCACAACAATACGTGCAGTGTTCTCACTACAGTGAATTTTCAAGTGTCACCAAGTCATTAGAAAAATGGAACTCAACCGAGAACATTTTCGCGCTATAATTTATTACAACTTTCAGAGACAGTTATCGCAACAAGAATGCCTTGCTGAATTACTGTCTGTTTTCGGCAACGAAGCCCCACATCAGTCGACAATTTCCCGTTGGTATGGAGAACTCAAACGTGGACGGGTGAGTCTTAGCGACGATCCCAGGGTGGGTGCACCAAAAACGGCAGTCACCCAGGAAAACGTCGATGCTGTGCGCAAACTCATCATTGAAGATAGACGTGTGACATATCGCGAGATTGAGGCGTCCTTGAATATCTCAAAGACCTCAATTCAAAAAATTTTACATGAAGAATTAGGAGTAAGAAAATTAGTCTCTCGTTGGGTGGATACCCCACCTGTTGACTGAAGAGCAGAAAGCTGTCAGGGTTAATTGGTGTCAAAAAACACTTGACCGTTTCAATTCCGGAAACTCAAAAATGTGTACAGCATTGTTAGTGGTGATGAATCGTGGATTTACTGTTATGAACCAGAAAATAAACGACAGTCGGCTGTTTGGGAGTTCCAAGGTGAAGAAAAGCCAACAAAAGTCATCCGTTCTCGAAGTGTTTCGAATAAGATGGTTGCGACATTTGTGTCAAAAGCGGGTTATATTGCAACCATTCCTCTTAATGAGCAAAGAACTGTTACTGCGGATTGGTATACCACCATTTGTTTGCCAAAAGTCATCACCGAGCTTCGAAAAATCAATCCCAAAAGAAGAGTCATCCTCCACCAAGACAATGAAAGCTCGCACACAGCCCAAAAAACAAGGCAGTATTTAACGGACGAAAACGTGGAATTATTGGACCATCCTCCATATAGTCCCGATCTAAATCCTTACGATTTCTTTACTGTCCCGAAAATTGAAAACAGACTGCGTGGTAAAAGGTTCCAGTCACCAGAAGAAGCAGTTGACGCATTCAAAAATACCGTTTTGGATCTGCCAGCAAACGAGTGGAATAAGTGCCTCGAAAATTGGTTCGAGTGCATGCAGATGTGTATTAATCTTCGTGGAGAATACTTCGAAAAACAATAAAGTCATTTAAAACTACCTACCGTGTTGTTTTATTTCCATATGCAAAACTTAAAAGATATCCCTCGTACGTGCAAGGAAAATTTATACTTTTTACTATATATATATACACACACAATGTGTTTGGTCACGACATACCGATATTTAAGAGGGGTATTTTTCAGCTATTTTAATCGACAAATCCACACCCCTACAATGTCCTACCTCATCCCCCTTGAAATGGCAGCTATTTTTATTTTTACGTTACGATTACGGTAGTGCATGTATGAAAATTGTAATAACTGAGTACGTAATTGTCACTGAATGATAAATTTGGTGTCATTTGAACGAGGATATGTTGTCCTAGTGATTATTGAAAAACTTGTTTTGATACTAATCGTCAAACATACTGAAAAACAGACAAAAACAGAAAAAAATGTGGAAGAAAATTGATTATTTTGTGCATTTCCGCTCACCATACAAAAACTAGTTTGTGAAGTTGTACTTTTTTCTGCTAATTCTACAGTTTTTTGTTATCCTAAGTATTCTCCGTTAAGCAATAAATGCTATCTAACATGGGTCAGAATGGGTGTAATAAATTGCAAATTGTTTTCAAACTTTTTATACATAAAAATGGCAAATCAATATTTCTTGTAAAAAGAGTTTGGACATGTTTAATGTTACAGAAGCTGTTCAAAATGTCCTCCATTATTGGTTAAGCACATTGTTCTTAAAACAATGCGTCGTGTTGAGCGGCAGACCACATCCGTGTCATTCCTAATTTCGTTCGCAGCGGTATGGATCCATTTCAAGGGGGGTGAGGTATGACATTTTAGGGGGTGGATTTGTCGATAAAAATAGCTGAAAAATATCCCTCTCAAATATCGATATATCTTGACCAAACATATTGTATATATATATATCATTTTTTGAAATTCCACTACAAATAGAGTCAGGATAAAAGTTGAAATGATTTTGGAAAAATTCGGTTTTCTCCGTCTCTCTCCGGTACTTTGAATTTCTAAACTTTCTAAACGGTATTTTCTTGGTTACCACTGGTCAGGGTCGAATTTGGAAGAAAGCTGTGACGTAGTAGTTTTTCCACGCCGAAATCTTCAAATAAAGGTCAACCATGGAGGTCAGGAATTTGTCAGATTTGACGAAAAGCACCTATATTCTCTGACGACAGATTGACATGATCACTGTCTATCGATATCTGAAATGTACGATTTTCAAAAACACTTTTCCACCGCACGAAAGAACAGAGGTGAGTAAGCTGCTTCGTCAAGGGAAAACGGATGAGAAATGAGAACGATTTCAGCTATTAAAAATTCAAGTTTTCTATTATACCATTGAGGAGATAGTGTAGAATTTACGATCTATAGCATTTGACGGTTCCAAGATTATTTCTACCAGTATGGCAGACAGAAGCTGAATTTAAATTGATTTCAAAGCTGTTGGGAATTGCTGATACTCTGGTTAGCATTTACAAATGAAGACATATTCACAGCGCTAGTCTGATCTCTGTCGAAATACATGGAGTTTATCACTGTTGTTTATTTTTCAATGCTACTAACTATAAGGTAGTTCAAAATCCACAATTTTCCATAAATAACGTATTTAGTATTTCTTAGTATTCGTTTATCATGGTAACTCGGTATTTTGGCGCTGCTTTTTCGACTGCTTCAGAACTTATACTAAGATTACTTATCATGAAAAAAGCATGCACGAGTTACTTACCATAAGAAAATATACTAATTTCATAAAATACATTGTACTTCATTTATTAGCTATCATCTTCATATTGCACTGGAAATTGATGCCCATTTCCATTACCACTAAGCACAAACACTACGTATAAACACATTTTATAAACACATTTGATCCAGCATAATTTCAAAATCAGATTTTCAAACATATCAAAGGCAAAAACACTTGATTTCCTCTTATTGGTTTATCATTCCTCTATAATCTATACCGATACATCATCCGATCATCACATACTGAACGAGGCATCTTTCTTCTCACATAATTTTCTTATCAATATTAATCATGATAAGGTTCGAAAGGAAAGTGAAACTTATTTGTCGATCTACGACGCGATTACTGAAAGCCAATGTTTCTTTTGCAATTAGGGTAATGGGTCTTGGGGTTCTTATTTTTGTACTTAATGGACATAATAATCAATATCCCCTTATCTTGTTCATCGGAAAAAATTAATCGCCAACTTGCATAGAGAGGAATACTGATACTCTCCCATACTGAACTCGAATATGACCATGAACAACTTTGTAGTATCGTGGACTTGAGGTAAAAATGGATTATAGGCCATCGTTGTCTCGACGAATCAAAGCCACATCAAAGCGGCCATCAGAGTGCCAGCAATCGGTATGTTGTTCTCCATGCTGGTATCAAAAACGGATTATTGAGAGATACTGCACTGTTGTTTGCTACAAAATCAAAAAGTGCTGACCTACCACGACTCCATGGACAAAGATTGTTTCAAAAAATGGATATGTGAGAAGCTGATACCAGCGTTGCAAGACCTTTCTTTAGTAATCATGGATAATGCCTGTTATCATAGTGCGTTAACAGAAAACATGCCCAATAGGAAGGTTCGTCATTTTTTTATTTTTACTCAAATCGAGAGATTTTTGTTATTAAGAAGCGATAAAAAAATGAGCAAAAAATATTGATATTTCCGTCGACTAAAAGCAATTCAAAATCAAGGATCGTCGCGAGGCTGGAAAACGTACCTGTACGCGAGACTAGACCGCGTGACGTCAGTAGCCAGACACAACTCGCTAGCGCTGCATTTACCATTGTCACTAAAACGCCTCAGTAATCAGTTTGGAGTAGTTAGAGCTGGTACGATAGATTTTTCTTAAATTCTGCAAACTTTGACAGAGCTAAATGTCGAACAAAAAGTGGTGTTATGTGCCAAAATGAACAAGTACGTCAAGTACAACACCACAAAAAAATTTTGTGTCTGTTCCAAAAGCTGCCGCACAACGTAAAAAGTGGTTTGACGCAGCTCGACGGGATGTAAAATCGGTTTCTTCCACGTCGACCATGTACTGCTGCGAAGATCATTTTGACCTGAAAAAAGATATGGAAAACTATCTACAATACAAGATGAGTACCGTTCGAGCTCGGATGAATCCTAATATTGCACCTCATAAATTTGCATGTCAACTGGGTAGACAATTAAGCTCTACGAAAAAAAGGGCAAGGCCGAAAGACATCGCCAAATATTTGCAGCCAGCGGCGGCACGCCGGGCGGGACCCTCAACCGAAAAGTCCGAGCCTGAAGGCGTGCAAGTTTTTGAGGAGGAGCATGATGAAGTGCCTGAACCTTTAACAATAGAAGTCCAGTCACAGTATGTGACAAGGTTTGTCAAACCAAACAGGTACATTTTAGAAGCAAGTCGGTTCAAATCTCGCAAAAACGGAAAGTAATGGATGTTGCTGTATCGCCAATAAGAATTCCTGCGCTTGCTAAATAGATTTCAGAGCGGCCAAAAAAACGTTTGCAAGTGGAAAGTGAACGGGCGAATCTTAAAAGTCCCGCAATAACAGAAACATCCAAATCTGATTTGTATGAAGCCAGTGGAAGCAGTACTGAAAGTAGTGACAGCGAAGCTGACCAGCTTACTGCCGAGATCCTAGTCATTCTAAGCGCAATATTAGTAAATGTTTAGAACCTGGCTTCATTGCTCATCCCCCAAATGCAGCCCTAAACTTTGTTATTTTAGTAGCTATAAAATTCTATAATGTGACTGCCCCCCCCCCCCCCTAATTTAAGTATTCCCCGATAGACCCTAAAAAATCAGATTCTCTCTACATCCCTGGAATTTCTCTCATTGAAAACATATTAGTACCATACTTTACTTCAGAATAGTGTAATAAAGCCTCAATATGCAAAAACAGTATATTCAGATAAGAGATAGACCGGACATAAACAAGACCACGTGATCATCGAACGCTGTAACATTCGGCAGGGACGTATTAAGAGTCACGCAGTACATATTTTAGATAGTAGATGCTGCTTTGCGTAACTTTGTAGTAAATTAGCACAATTCGATGTGTATACGATTGGTGATGGATATAGGATCATGTGGGGGTGGGGTAAGAAATATATAATGATGTAAATATACGTAAGGGTTTCAAAATTTTCTCTTCGATTTCCAGCTTCGGATGCCGCCTGATGTTTGGTGAAATACAGTCGAATATAATCTCAAAATGGCGTTTAAATTAGCCTAAATTAAAAATAATCGTATATCTCTTAAAATTGCTTTTAGAATATTGATTAGTATATTTTTTGATTTCTAGGTAAATATGTAACCAAATTAAAACGTTCAAAACGTAAAAAAATGTGCATGGTTGAACATTGTCAGAAAGTAGATTCTTGAATAGGTTTTGCCAAAATGGGTTCAAAAATGTCAATAATTAATTAAAAAATACAGTAGCTTTATAATTACTTATAACTTACCGAATTTGATGAACGACATCTTTTATTGGAAAGATGAGCTTGATGAGCTTTCATCATCCCTACTGCCTGAAGCACCAACGTCAATAATGAATGGCTCGACTTGTTCCTCTAAAATATTGTCCAGTTCCCACATTCTCTTTTCAACTTTGTCTTTCACGTGCTTAATACAGTTTTCCCATTTTTGCGCTGTTATTAATTCTAGTGCTTCTTTGAAAAGTCCTTTGAGGTCACAAAATTTAAAAGTTGTATTGTGCTCAATGGGATTGAGCTCGCAATGGTATGGAGGTAAGCGGAGCGCAGTTTTATTTTGACTTGCTGCCATTTCGTCAATGGCGTATTTTTGATATTCCGCCTTGTGATCCTTGACAATTCTTAATAATTGTACTTTCAGCATTGCTTCTTCAAAGTTGATATTTTTCGAGCGGAGCCAATTTTGAACATCAACTTTCCTTGAAGCCGTTGTTGGGACCTTGGGCGCATTATCCAACACAATTACTGCGTTTTCCTCTAAGTTCGGTAAAATTTTTGAAAACCACTGTTCAAACGATTCGCCATTCATTTCCTCGTGGTAATCTCCAGTTTTCTTAGACTCAAAGCACCACAGACCGTCAACAACAAATCCATCCTCACTGCCAATATGGCAGATAATGAGCCTTTTCCCTTTACCTGGAAATCGAAGTACTAACTGGTGTAGATTTATTTCAATAAGCGAACCTTTTTCAAATGTTTTCATCACATTCAGCGAAAAAACATTGAGACATGAGTATCAGATTGCTATAATTGGGATTATTTAGTCATATTGAAAGAAAGAATATTGAACGTCGTATGATTACTCAGCGCTTCACAATTTAATTTAAAGTTATAAACCTTAAAAAAATGAATGGTCAGGAACCTGAAATACGCGCAAATATTAATATTAACAAATTATAACTTTATAAAGCTTAAAGTATGAATTAAAATGATTAGAAATATTAGGAACGGTACACAATATAAAACTTAGTAACTTTTTTTAAGTTTATAATATTCGACATATTTTAAGATTATATTAAAAAATTATTGAAATATCGAAAACACATAAAAACATGTCTTAAAAAAGTTCTAACAAATGAAAATGACAATAAAACATCCACGCATTTTATCGAAAGTTATAAAAGTTTTGTTACTTGTAATATGTTTTATCTGCCCCCTGGAATTAATGTTTAGAACCTTGTTCCCAAGGTTTGAAAAACATCCGATTATTGTCTATTACTCGTATTTACCTGCTGGATTTTTTAATCCGGTGGACAGTCCATCTAGAAAGGCCCTCCTGGATGAAGTTACAGAATCATCAACCCATACTTTACTTGTAGTGTGTCCTGCGTTTACCCACGTTTCATCAAGGTAATAAATCTTCCTGTTTTGATTTCTATATTTCCCAATTTTTGTTAAATAATCCCTCCTCCATAGCACAATTTCTTCTCTATCCAGTAGTAAACTATTACGACCCCGTTTTTTCCATTTGAAATTTAAATGCTTCAGTAACGCATGGAAAGATGATCGTTTGAAATTTGGCAACGTTGTATCTCCATTTACCTCCTGCAGTACTTTATCTATAGTAGGTATTTCATTCCTAAAGAAGAAATCATGCACTTTCCCCCTAATCGCATGCTTATCAGCTTCATCCAATGATTTAACAATACTTTTGCGATGTTTACTGGTCATTTACTCAGAAAAGGTGTGATTTTTTTTGTATTGTCTTAACACATTAAACACTGATGCGCGACACACTCCAACTTTGTGAGAAACCTTCACAACAATTTCTTTGATGGTTGATGCCTCGTTCTCCTCGCGCTCGATCTTATATATATTCAAAATGACCTCTTTCATTTCTGCACTCAGGTGTCTTTTTTTAGAGCGTTTCCTAGGTGGACTACAGGAGTTTACAACTTCATCGGCAGTATCTGTACTACTGGGCATTTTGCGCAAGCAGTTGATAACAATAACAATCAATAACAAGGTATAACAATAACAACGACAAACTCAACAACTTAATAAGATAACAAACGAAAACGTCCAAAGAAATATCAAATTGCAATGATGCACACGACATACGTAACACGTCTGAACCTGAATGTGACTCTGCCTTGATACGACTGCTCTGCCGCTCGGCATAGGCATTTAATTGCGAATTGACCAATGAGGGCTCCTGTTTTACGTCGAGACGACGGCGTTAGCGTGAAAATCAACCGAACCTTTTGTTTACATCCGGTTTATCTCTTATCTGAATATACTGTAGGGGCTCTTAATAGGCGTAACAAGGTAAAAAGTTACTCGTCTGTATGATAATTTAAATTTCATAATATTTTACCTTGGAAGAAAAAAGCAGAAATAAATAGTCTTCAAAATTATTGTCACGAGCAGGCATTATTATGTCTTAATATTATTAGCTTTCAATAGACTAAAGCAAAGCAGGATCAATTTTTGCGGAGAAATACAAAATAAATACTATCCATTGGAGCT